AGGATACCAAAGGGAACATTCAAACTTATAGAAAGTTTGGTTTGTAATGTCTTTACTTTCGTTATACATTTGTTTTTCCTATTGTTTAGATTTAAGCGCGTTTGACGTACTAAATCATATGCCTTATATATTTTATCAGTTTATATAAGCAATGAAAACAGGTCTCCGGAACCACTTACTCTTTCTAGGAGAATTGCCAATCTGTTGTCTGTATTACAAAGTTCAAAGATATTTTAGTGTACATACAGTTTAAGTCCATGACCTCATGCAATAGTTTTTTTTAAAAAAACGATCTGCAAGATTCTCAAGTAAAAACCAACATATAATGAGTTTGACTGTCCCTCTGGTATCTTTCGTCCCTCCTTTATAATGCCATTGTTCAAATTATAACGAAAAGACAAACAACCATATTCAAAACACTCACGACTTAGTAAACCCCCCCCCCCCAAGTTTTTAAGTGGGGTTCGTTTTACCTCGTCTTGACTTTTCTATGAAGTGGATTGTTGTTCGTATATTCGTGTTTTTTTTTCTTTTGCTATGGTTCCAGTCTGTATTCTTCGAGACAGTTTTTGTTATTGTACGCATGGTATCTCCTGTCTATTTGACTGCGTTTTTTTTTTTATTCAAATCACGTAGCAAAACCCTCGTTATGCTTTCCATTTTACTAACTCAAGATTTAATTTCTTATACATGTAAATGCAAATTTGATCGATACAATAGCAAACAATCGTATTACTTTTAATATTTTATTAGTGCATTTTGACAAATTTTGTCTTTAAAAAGATGACTGAGACTATTTTCTTTAGGAATCCAAAGCAAAATTAAGAAACTGACACTACCTAGGAAACTCTGAAGGTTTATTTCACAAAACAATTGTGTTTTAGCCACTTTGGTATGTTATTGTGTCTTCAATTGTTTCCTAGATCACACGTGTGTAAGCTCTGACTACCCGCACATCATCGATTCCCATGACTCCACTACACTAGTTCTTAGTTTTACCTACCCGAAGCCTCACTTCCATCAAACTTAAACGTACAGCCTCGCATCAAGGCAGCATTGTTTTTCGATAAGGGTTCAACAGTATCAATTCGTGTGAATAATGGACACAAGTGATCGCCAAAAAAAAAATAGACAGTGCATTGATAAGCCTTAACACATCATTGAAAGGTTTTAAGAGCCGAGATTCTAAAAGGCGTTAAACAAGATGATAGTCAGCCAAGTGACTCGGGGGACGAATTTCAATATTTCTTTAACCAAAAGAAAAGAGTGAAAAAAGTATACCGTCGTCATTAATGAAGACAAGAAACCATCTATTTTTAGTTTTCTATGTTGTGTTTTTGTGTACTGTTGTTTGTCTTTTCGTCGTTTTCCGTTTTTAATCATGGCATTGTCAGTTTGTATTCGATTTATAAGTTTAAAAATCCCTTTGGCATCTTTCGCCTGTCTTTAAGAAAGGAACTCAATGTGCTGAAATCAGAAAGAATGGAAATGCAAAAGGACATTTAAGAAGAAACAGATAATATTAGTTAATAAAGAGTCAGTAGACAAATTGCAGAGAAAGCTCCTTTGCATGAGTCTTTTAAGGACGAAACGCGTGTCTGGCGTACAAAATTTAATCCTGGTATCTATGATGAGTCTACATATGGCTAAAACCCATACCTTAGTTTCAAACATTCACCTTGGCCGGGGATGTATAAAGGCAACAGTAGTATACCGCTGCTCACAAGTCATACATCGATTGAGAGAAAACAAATCTGGTTTACAAACTACAACCAAGGGAAACACATCAACTATAAGAGGAAAACAACGGAACAACAGAAACACTGACGTGCAACAAAAACAAACGCCAACATACATAGAAACGAACTATTTGATAACAACTGCCATATTTCTGACTTGGTACAGAACATTTTAAGAAAAAATGGTGGGTTGAACCTGGTTTTATTGCTAGCCAAACCTCCCACTTATATGGCAATGCTAAAAAAGTATCGCTAAAATGACAACACTACTTGACAGAAATACAACACAAAAAAACGCAAGAATATTCAGCACAGAGAAACGCATAAATAAATAATATAATAGTCGTTAACTGAGTATCGTATTATTTCTAAGAAGAAGAATATACCCCATTACCCTCCATTGATCTTAAATAATGTAGATATATAGAGAGTTACACGCCATAAACATTTAGGTCTTATTTTGAATGATACACTTTCTTGGACCGATCATATTGCTGATATTTGTAAGAAATGTCACAGTAAACTGAACACTATCTTGAGGATGCGACATTTGTTACCTAGATTATGCATTGAAAAGTTAAATAAAACATTTGTTAGTTCATTGCTAGACTATGCAGATGTCATCTACGATAACTGCTCTAGTGCTGATTTTGCAAACATTGAACATGTACAGAGACGTGCCTGCATTATATCTACTGGGGCAATCAGGGTCACAAAACGTGTCACTTTATTGAAAGAGGTTGGCCTTGGGCTTTTGTAATTTCTACCCAGGTAACCGTATTGAAAGCACTGAGTACTATTTAATTCATTGCGTCAGTTACACGAACTATCGGATTACTCTTCTACTTGATATTTAGAATCTGATTTGTCCAGATATAAATATAGCAATGTTGCGGGATCTATGTCCCAATTATCTGAGCAAAATTTTAATAGAAGGTAGTGACAATTTGTCTGATGATACTAATTTAGATTTAAATATTCTCTCATAAATAATACAACATTTAGTGACTATGTTGAACGAATCTATCCCATCGAACTAGAGATAAAGGATACTACAGATACAGTTAAGTCTGCCTCATATCTTGACTTACATCTATAAATTGACAATGAGGGTCGGTTGAAAACAAAACTTTACGACAAAAGAGATGATTTCAGCTTCCCAATTGTGAACTTTCCATTTCTATGTAGCAACATTCCAGCAGCGCCTGCATACGGAGTATATATCTCCCAATTGATACGATATTCCCGAGCTTGTGTTTCCTGTCATGATTTCCTTGATAGAGGATTGCTGCTCACACGGAAGCTATTAAGCCAAGAGTTCCAAATGATGAAGTTGAAATCATCCCTTCGTAAATTTTACGGACGCCATAACGAGTTGATTGACCGTTATGGAATAACCGTTTCACAGATGATATCGGATATGTTCCTTATGTTATAAATACAATACCCTTCCCTTTTCACGAATGTGACTTACCGAATTAGACTATTTACCGGATTTGTAATAACATAAGACACACGACGGGTGCCACATGTGGAGCAGGATCTGCTAACTCTTCCGGAGCACCTGAGATCACCCCCAGTTTTTGGTGGGGTTCGTGTTGCTTAGTCTTTAGTTTTCTATGTTGTGTCATCTGTACTATTATTTGTCTGTTTGTCTTTTTATTTTTGGCCATGGCGTTGTCAGTTTGTTTTCGATCTATGAGTTTGACTGTCCTGTCCCTCTGGTATCTTTCGTCCCTCTTTTAGAGCTGTTTGAGTGTGTGTTTCGATATATTAAATCTTCAAACAGGTTTTCTCGATAGATCAATAATTTATTTGTACTATCTTTTTCCTTGTAATAAAACATATTAGGTATGAAACACATACACACACTTATATTATTTTATTTTTTATTTCTTTTTTTTTCTCTCAATTGACCTAATTGTACTAAAAATCGTCTTTCCATAATTATTATTTTATATTACTGAATTCAACATGATTGTCAAGTCGTGTGCATGTGAGTAAGAATGAGCGAGTGATTTGATGGGTGTGTAGTCAAAATACATTAATAATTCGTATGTATTGTCCTGTACATATTGTCTTGTGTTAAACAAGTTTGTAAACTATAAAAATCTTTGTTAATTGTGAATCTGTATATATCTATGTTGAGGAAACCCACACGTAGCCTCTGGCTGCTGGCAATCCTCTTTAAATAAATAAAGAATTAAATTAAATCAAATTAATAGTCGTTACAACATGTAAACCGCAGAATAACTACGAATATCTTCCATTAACGACAGCACAGGACATCACAAACAGTGACGTATTTTTGTAACAAATATATAATCTTAAAATTCATACAATTATTTTCACAATACTAGTCCAAACAATTATCATGACTATGACGGTATTGAAAGGCTGACGTCATAATTATTTGGACTAACACAATACTTTATCCACGGAAAATGGAAATTAACTCAACTTCACTGACCAATAAGACATATGTGAAATGTACCAACAATACAGAATTCAAACCACAAACGATAAGACATAACACAATATCCAACAGAAACCACAACAGAAACATCATAAATAAATACATGAATGTTGGATGTATAAATACCGAGACACGTCGTATAGCAATGCAAATTCACACTCGGCAAAACAGTCATATTCGGGAATAGGCCACGTTCGGTACTTAGAAGACAAACTGTCTGTTGAGTGGAAAAGAAAAAGGTCCTAAGCAAATTATTCATCGAGGAATTGGATTACGCAAATATGCAGAGTATTATAACTATTTAATAAAGCAGATATTTGCTAACCTTAATATGCTTATTTCATCTACAAATCACGCATTTTTTCGGATGGAATCTCAATATGTTTGGTACTACATTCTCTTGTGTGATTTTCAATGGAATACCTAAAGAAACAAAGTACAAATAATTTCGAAAAGAGGACATACCGGCAAGATCTTAGACACTTTCAGTCAGCTTTTAAACGTGACAATCATACTGCTCCTGCTAATCTTGCTACCGCTCGGACTGTAAAAATGTGCTGTTCATATATCATATTTATTTTGAAGTTACAGGTCGCCGTAAACCAATCCAGTTTTGTCCGAAAAACGCACCACTGCACCAATCTAACGGATTAAGAATTGAAAAAGAATGAATTGTAACAAAAACTGATTGTAATTGCGTTTTGAGGCATCGAATTGCTTGCTTCCGTTTATGTCGATATTTAACCAATGCCAGCGATGAATTCAATAAAACAAATAAAAACATGTCGATGAACAATGATTTATTGAAGGATAAAAAAAAACTTAACAAGAGAAAAGAAAATCACAGAAAATATAAATAAAAACATAATAAATATATAATAATAAATAAATAAATGTTGAAAATAAAGTGCTAGGATTATATTTCATGTTTTGAATTTAATGAACCTTCTGAGAAATTCACCAAAATAACGAGGGACCCTCTATTTTTTTTACTGAAAAATCAGTTTCCTGGTCTATAATTCAGATTTGTATCTTGTTATGTTGTTAAGGTTTAACTAAAAAAAAATGATAACAAGAGGTGACTGGTATACGTCAATGGGACAGCAGCCCCACGACAAAACAATAAAATACATCTACAGGGTAACATTCAGTCTACAGAACCATTGTTTTATACAGAATGAAATTGCACATGAATGTTGAGAACATTAGAATTCCTACTTTGAATTCATCTTTTAATATGTCACTAGGAATAATCTAGTACTCATCCTTTAGTGAAGTAAGTTTGTATACTAGCTAAGAAATAGTATCAGCTGATCAATTTTCGACTACCTGTTAAGTCTGACATCATTTTAGCAATAAGGCGAAGCAATTATATTTTAATAAAAGATATGATTTTTTTCGAAAACTTCAAACAGATCTCGGTGAAGAAGTTAAGGGAAAATGCAAAATATTACAAATAGATAAAATATGTCTTTGTGTCTCAACTATTGATTACTGGTCCTTAAACCAGGTAACCCATGAAAACTCAAACATTGAATGTTGTCGTCATCAGGTTAAAGAATATGGAAGCTGATTACAAAATGCGTATGGCTCTGTGTTTAGTTATGAAATACGATTTTGGCGTAGGTGATGTGCGTTTATAAAATATTAATACATACAACTAGTTACTTTTGATTCTAATATACTATTGGTGTTTACAGAGTCGAAAAAATCTGAATCATTTACAAAAATAGTGTCCTGTCAAAAAATTTTCAATTTAAAATCTTGGAATGAAGGAAGCTCCAAACATGTCGATTGTTCTATCACAAAAATGTATAGATTCTACGGTTTAAAGGGTAAATTTAATTTAAGCAAAAAAGAAAGAAGGAATCATTCCTTTTAGGTTTTTTTCATTTTACTCAAAAGTAAGATGTAAAATCAAAATGTTCCATATTTATACTAAAGAGGTACGTTTTGTGAGAAATTTGAACATAGTTAAATCTATAAATACACAAAATACATCATCATAATTAGTCAAATACAATTGATATCTGAAAATGTTCGTTATATCCTCTATTTCATTCTTTCTTAAATATATTTCCATATCAGGTAAACATATGATTGCATGATTTTCTAAAAATCAACATCGTCATCATATCCATTATTTTGTTGTCCGACTCCGGTCATTTTGGTTTGTTTTGCATCCTGTCCATTCTTAGATAGCAAATCCTTTGAGGATCCTTGTGGTGCGACGTTGACTTGATTCGGACTGTTTTCGTCATCATCAAAGAAATCTCCATCTTCGTCGTCCCCTTGGAGCTCAATATCGTTGTCGTTTGCTGCTTTCTTTTCGGGTAGTTCTAGGCCATATTCAGGATCAGAATCGGGATCGACTTTGCTTTTGCCACATGTTCTACCTTTACAACAAGGCCAGAAACAGCAACACGTGGTGCAACATAAGCCACAACATTTCTTACAGACTGTGAATACACAGACTAAAGTCCAGATACCAACACAACCTCCTACAAAGGCGATACCTACCCCGACCATGCCTCCCATTCCAAGGGCAATAATACTTCCTATCAGTTCTTCAAAAACTGAAAAACAAATATAACACCTTTCAATTAAAAGTGCATTGTACAAAAATATAGAAAATTTTAACACATCTTTATTTACCCGAGGAATCCACATGTGTGTACACTATATGAAGACTTTGAAAGTTAAATTAAAGAATATTGGTACAAACAATATCGATCAACAAGATATATCATGACCAGAAATTATACAAACAATATCAATCAACAAGATATATCAACAAGATATATCATGACCAGAAATTATACAAACAATATCGATCAACAAGATATATCATGACCAGAAATTATATACAAACAATATCGATCAACAAGATATATCAGGACCAGAAATTATACAAACAATATCGATCAACAAGATATATCAGGACCAGAAATTATACTAACAATATCGATCGACAAGATATATCATGACCAGAAATTATACAAACAATATCGATCGACAAGATATATCATGACCAGAAATTATACAAACAATATCGATCGACAAGATATATCATGACCAGAAATTATACAAACAATATCGATCGACAAGATATATCATGACCAGAAATTATACAAACAATATCGATCGACAAGATATATCAACAAGATATATCATGACCAGAAATTATGCCAACAAGATATATCAGGACCAGAAATTAAAAAAACAATATCGATCAACAAGATATATCAGGACCAGGAATTATATCAACAATATCGATCAACAAGATATATCAGGACCAGAAATTATATCAACATGGTGAGTATTCTTTTTTATTCATAGATTTGTCGTTACAAACTAAGGCTCACAAACTGACTAAAACAGCAAATAATATACAAACTGAGGCTCACAAACTGACTAAAACAGCAAATGATGTGTATTCTTTCACGATATTCTTGAAAATTGGTAAAGAATGAAATCAAATTAATCCCACATGGAAACAAATCTTTTGTACAAATTTGAACATCGTACTCGATTTATCAAAAAATATAAAAAGAGAAAAAAAAAAACAACATTGTGTAAATAAGGAGGTGGGAAAACCAAGGAGATACTTTAAGTGTAAAGTGCATAAGCCAAAATGATAAAACAATAAATGAACTGAGGCCATGCAAACTGTATGTTTTTCAAATTTAAAGAGGTTCCAGTAAAACCCACTGACAAAAATATTACTCCGTCCAATTATACTTTAATATATCTATTGACGCAAGACAACATCAATAACAAATAAATATATATGTAGCGTTTGATTAATGATGCGTTGTTTTGTCATTTTATAAGTAATATAACATACATGAGCAGTCACTTTCATCCAAGTCATCATTGCAGTGTCTAGTACCATCACACTTCAGCCTTTCATCAATACACACATCTTCTGTTGTACAATGGAATTCGTCATCTTGGCAAGGACCTGCAAATCATTACATTATATAAATAAATGGAAGTCATCATCATCTTGACAAGGACCTGCAAATCATTACATTATATAAATAAATGGAAGTCATCATCATCTTGGCAAGAACCTGCAAATCATTACATTATATAAATAAATGGAAGTCATCATCATCTTGACAAGGACCTGCAAATCATTACATTATATAAATAAATGGAAGTCATCATCATCTTGGCAAGGACCTGCAAATCATTACATTATATAAATAAATGGAAGTCATCATCATCTTGACAAGGACCTGCAAATTAAGGCATTATTTATATAAATGGAACTCACTATCTTGACAAGGACTTGAAAGTTAAGGGCCTTCTTTTACTTTTGGGGTCCCTATACTTTAGGATTCGGGTTTATTTATGGTTAAATGGCTAAGTTGGGGATGTTCAAGGTCAGGGTTAGGAATGGGTTGTGGTAAGGTTTAGGGTTAAGGATAGTTTTGTATACCTGTATATGGGTTGGAACCCCCAAAAGTAAAAGAAGCAAATTATTGCATCATATAAATAAATGAAACTCATCATCTTCATAAAACGAGGTCATTTTCTTAGTTGTTGGTGTGCTTCATCCCAATCTGTTTAATCAAATTAAATATAATAATATCATATAGTTTTTAAGAAGGATTTTGGAAGACATACAAATAACTCACAAGTAAAACTACATTTTTTAAACTAAATTGAATACTAAAAATAAATTAAAACGTAAGAACGATGCAATTTTATGCTTAATCATTTCACTCATTTCACGTATTTTTAGATCTGATGGTGTTCTTAATATATTGTGCCAAATTGGAACATTCCCTTGTTTATTGAACTATTAAAGCCATGTCAGATCAGGTCTTTCATTAATTTTATCAATATGTACATTTTGTTGTTTGGTCGTTATAGCTTAGATTCATATAACTTGAAATCCATGTAATTGGTATTATAAAAAAAGAAGTCAAAATCGGTGACTGACCATTCCCCCATGATTTATTAGAAATAAAAACGATAATTTTTGGCTTAAGTAAGTTGGATCGTGTTATTATATCTTTAAATCATATCACATTTACTTTATTTCTGGATTAATATGAGATTAGTCTGGTACGTATTTAAAACCTACAAATATAAATCAATTTGTTCTGTAATGTGTAGAACCTCTGTAATCGCTGATCATGCTCTCTTATTATGAACGAACAACTAAACAATTGTTTTAACTATTAGAAACTGCTTTCAGGTCTATTGATTTGTCTTACCGCTATTTAGAATGAGTTATTCTGAAAATGATAATATTGCATATGGGCATTTATCCTTCCGGAGCACGTCCCCGGGGTTAATGTTACTTGATATTTGATTTATTTTCTACGTATTGTTACGTTACGTTGTGTGTGTTATGTGGACTGGTGTCTATCGTTTTTAGCTTTCTGTATGTCTTTTCGCATGTCTTTTTTCTTTATTTAGTTTTTTTAATAGTTTATCTGGGGTTTTTTTTCGGGTGCGTTTCTTCTGTGTTTTTGTTATAATTTTTCACTTGATATCTTTATTCCCATTTTCATACGCGAGACGTTAAAATAGAATCTTTCTCAAATATTTCAAAATTATATTTATAACAGCAAACAATGAATCATAATGATACCTTTAGATTAATTTGTTATACAGTGTATTTTTTATACTTTAATAGATTTTAAGCGTCCTTAACCTAAGCATCCAACTCATTGAAGAAATTGAAATTACTTACTTGGTTCTGTTCGAGTTCCTCTAAATCTGAATCCATCTCCAGATCCTGACGAATCAGCGTGAAATTCTAAGGTTAAATAACGCTGTGTTGGAAACCTGACGGTTGGTGTTGTGCTTCCACAGAAGGTTCCTAGCAGGGTACCAGGAGCCATGCCAGCTATATCAGAATCGTAAAGTTTTAAATAGTCTTTTGTGCAGTTTACTGAGTATTCCAAATCGAAATACTGCCAGTCTATCTTAAATCTGAAAATTAAATTACATTGTGTTGTTTAATATAAATAAAAGGAGATGTACATATGGGTAAACCTCAATCAGACAGAAACCAAACAACAAAAATAACCAAACGGAAACATGTACATACAGTATGTCAAGCTCTAAATCGTCTTTAGATACAACGTCGTGAATAAATTTTATCAGAATCAGTCATGCATCTGTCATTAAAGTCAGTTCTCCAAATATCAAAAACATTGAGCTAATACATACGATAACTAAAAACAAGGTTTCTGACTTGGGTGAGCACATAAAAATGTTGCTGGATTAACCTATAGTCCTTTCAAATCTCAACATCACTCTTTTTTTCAATCTCGATTAGTAGATTTACGAAACGTACATAAAAGAACATACTATAAAAACTAAAAATAAAAATCACATTTCTTTTAAATAGTAGATCAAGGACATAAAAAAGTAATATTAAAATCATTGAATGGATAACAAAAACGCAATATGAAAATATGAAAATACCGTAAAAAAGAATGCTCACAGTTACTGTTAGTAAGCTTACTAAGTAAGTACTTAGCATACTGATAGACATTGTCGCTCTACAATTTCATACACCGACTTCATGATCAGAACAAGAGTACACGAAAAAAGCCTCACAAAAAAATGATACAGAAAAACAAAAGAAACATTTAATATAGGTTCCGACTATAGATTGGCGAATTGATATCTACCCCCCAAAATACAAGGTGCATTAATTGAACAACAATAATATAATTAATAAGTCTATAAATCCAGGAGAGAGATTTGAAGGACAACTCCAAAATTGGTTAGCCTTATATATTTAAATAATAAAACTATAAAAACCGAACGCGAAATAACATCTTTCATTAAGTTCCTGAACGAGGAATCAAACCATGAAACCGTTACAAACCATGCAGCACCAACTATACATAAATATTTTAATATGATGAGATGTGACGTATACGGCAATGTGGCAGTCTGCCAAATGATATAATAGATACAGAATAATGGCATTTCTGTTTTTGATACTGACTTTATCAGCTAGAAATATCAAGCGACCCCATCAGCAAGAATATCAAGAGAACCCGCTAGTGCGAGCTGATATTCGAGCTGATGAAGTCAGTATCAAAAAATAAAATGCCATTATTCTTTTTATCGCAACTTTGTCTTTACTGTATGATTTTTTGATTGAGAATATGAAGTAAAATGAAATAGTTAATAAAACTACTTTTACGTGTACAAAACGTTGGGGTAGTTGTTCGGTCGCGTGCTATGGATTTTTTTTGGAAAAAAAAGTTTGTTTCTGGAAAATGTGGAAAAAAATAATTTGACTCATCACTGAAGAGAAAAAAGTTTGTTTTAAAAAGAATGACAAAAAAAATTAATTGTTGCCTAATTTAAAAGATGAAAAAAAAAGTTGGACATCCTGTATTTTTACCAACTGAAAGAGATGGAACTCTGACTGAAAAGTGACAGGGAAGTATAAAGTTAGTTTCTATTATTAAATCATTTAATAGCATATATAGTTTCATCAAATTTATATAGTATCACTATCAGTATAAAATTTCTATGATTTATAATATCAGCAACCCAATAGTCATACACCTAGGAGTTCGACCATACTCAATATGAAGTTGCATGCATGTAGTTAGTTTGAAGTTCAACTAAAACTATTCAGTATTCAGCCACACAAAGGCAAAATTATAAATGACCGATGAAGGAAAAAAAATGGTGAATATTAAGTCAAACAGACAACAATCCAATGAGGATAAAATATCACCAAAGGGTATCCATGGTTCTTACATCAACGGCCATGGCACCTGCATACCAAAGGGTAAGCTGAAGATGGTCCCTATTCTTTAAACAGAATTATATACTGGTTCACCGAATATTTACATGTCCTTATAAGTTTACAAAATGAAATTGAATTGAAAAAAAAGATTGTTTTCAATAGATGGTGAAAAAAATTATTTGTTTTTGATTAGCCCGGGAAAAAATTACAAGTTAGAAAATCAAATGGTTGCTGCCTAAGATCAAAGGAAAAATGTACAAATTGCCGATAAATGAATATACATTTTAATGTTATCTGGAGGTCAACCCTTATACTTACAATGCCCCTCCCATACTGCCGGCATCGAGAGTCATTACACAGTCCTTGTCCCCACCATAGTTGAACCATTTGAGAGGATTTATATGACTATTGATGTAGAGACTGGCATCCTCTACTACCTCATCACAAGAACCACCGAAAGCATCACTTGTATTAGGGTTCATATAATCTGAAAATGAAAGATAGATGATACAGCTTTCATCACAAGAACCACCGAAAGCATCACTTGTATTAGGATTCATATAATCTGAAAAATGATATATGATACAGCTTTCATCACAAGAACCTCCGAAAGCATCACTTGTATTAGGATTCATATATTCTGAAAAATGATATATGATCCAGATTTCATTACAAGAACCTCCGAAAGCATCACTTGTATTAGGATTCATATATTCTGAAAAATGATCTATGATACAGCTTTCATTACAAGAACTATTGAACGCATCACTTATATCTAATAATTTAATTTTGGATGTAATACGTCTTCTGATTGCCTGAAAGTTTTTTGTCTATCAGCTCATAGACATAATTTTGTCATGTTTTTTTTATGATTTACTCCTTGAAAATGGAATTTAGAATTAAATTTTAAGGTCTGACTGTAATATTTTTTAATATTTTTTCTATCTATTCGAAATAACCTAAAAAATGGGGTACGCTAAGAGGGTTATTCAGTGTGCACAACATTTTTGATGTTATTTCTTCATAGACAGAAAAGTTATTACAGTCATTCCTTAAAAAAATACATATTACGTATTTGTAATTCATGTTATTTAAATGAGTATGAAAAAAAATACCGAACTCCAAGGCAAATTCAAGAGGAATTAAGTACATAAAAACTGACAAAACCAACGTTAGACTATATAAACCAACGGAACCCATAGAAAACAGCTGTCATATTCTTAACTTGGTAAAAGAAATGGTTAGTTAAACCTTGTCACATAGCTAGCTTTACTTCTTTTCGAACTGCTTAACACTAAATAATTTATAAATTTGATAACGTTAGAACATTTCAATTTCAATATAAAAAGAAAGTCCTTAACCAAAATAAAACGTTTTGGCTGCATGACTGTCCGGTTTCCCTAGAACACGATGTCTTCAGGCCAAAAAAATACTTAATTAGTCCAAAAATTGACAAACAAAATCCTAAATACCTGGAACAACAATTTGATAAAACAGAGTTCATTTGTTATGAGATCTGCAACAAATTCTCAATTATTAACGATTAAATTTTTATATAGTTATGGAACGACAAATATAAAAATCATGAAGTTGGTTTTTGTCTTTATAACGTAAAACTTTTGTAAAGATCAAATAAAGCAAGCTGAAGTATCATGAGATGTACATCGAATTTTAAATTGTATATTGTGGAAATTCTGCAACTCTGAAACGACAAATCTAAAAATCGCAGAAATAAGTGAGTTTGGCTCTGTAACTCTTTTGCTTAAAAAAATCTTTAGCAAACCAGATTTTGACTTACACAATAATAAGTCAACATCAATTTTATGTACAAAATCTCATTCTTTAATCTCACGAATAAGTTACTTCTAAGAAATGGGTTGTCTTGGCTGCACATCGGGTTTTCAGTATTTTGAAGGTAGCCATTGTTGAACTTATGAGAGCAGTTAGTTCGAAAGAAATTGATGTATTCTAATGTATGGCACACTCGTGCTAATTTGATCTGTCACGTTCAGTGACTATATTCCAATCTATCAATATGTCCTGACCGGTCAAATTAAAAATAGTCAATACCAAATTTATCTCCATTTTGTCTTCAGAAACAACATACCAAAATTTGAAAAGCATTGGTCTAACGGTTCATTAGTAATTGCACGAAAACTGTTGGCAGTCGCACGCCCACCCACCACCCGCCCCCGGTTAAAATGTTTGTGGTTTTTTTTTTTTTTCTGTTTCTAGGCCCTGTTTCAATGTTTTATCTTAAGGTGACGATGTTTCATTGTTCACTGAACATAAATGCTTTAATATGCTTCGGTTTAAAAAAAATATGTCTGAAACAGACATTATCAAAATGCTAGATTTCCTGATTGACAACATATTTGTTTCATTTGGAGGACGTGGTTTTCAACAAACATTCGACAAATCTAATGTCTTTCACTTCTTGTCGACTTGTTTCTTTATTTATAAGAGACAGACTTCATACAGGTGATACTTCGAAAGAATGAAAAGAAGCTAGCATTATCCTTTAACTTCACGTTCCGCTATAAAGATCATATCCCTCTCTAAGAATATGGAGTATATATCTCCCGATACGATATTCCAGAGCTTGTATTTCCTGTCATAATTTGTTTGACCGTTATGGAATATCTGTTTCACAGTTGACGACTGATATGTTCCAATTGTCGTAACCACAATACCGTCGTCTTTTCCTCGAATGTGACCTACCGAATTAGATTCATCACCGGGTGTGTACTTAAATTAGCAATACGACATTAGCCATATGTGAAACGGGGTTTGTTTACCCTTCATGAGCTTCTGAGATCTGCCCAGCATTTGGTGGATGTTCGTGTTCCTCAGTCTTTAGTTTTCTATGTTGTAGTATGTATACTGGTGTTTTTCTTTTGGACGTGTTGCGTTTTGTGGCATGGGCTTTGGCCTTGTCAGTTTGCCATGGGCTTTGGCCTTGTCAGTTCGTTTTTTGCCATGGGCTTTGGCCTTGTCAGTTCGTTTTTTGCCATGGGCTTTGGCCTTGTCAGTTCGTTTCTTGCCATGGGCTTTGGCCTTGTCAGTTCGTTTTTTGCCATGGGCTTTGGCCTTGTCAGTTCGTTTTCGGCGCACGAGTTTGATTACTCCTTATAGTATCTTTCGTCCCTCTTTTATAAAATGTTAGTCGCATGAGCTTTTATATCATATAATTGATGTTACTTGTATTAATGTGTACCTACTTTAAATAAAATGTCTTTGTTTAATGTCTGCATGAACGTTCACCAGTAGCGTGTAGAACCAAATGTTTGGAAATATTTTATGCAAAATGACTCTTAATTATTAATTGATAAACTAATGAGATATATTTATCATAAATAGGTATATATTTTATTTCTTAATATTTTGTAGGTTGTTCACAAATGAATAAGCATCATAAGCTATTACGTTCAGAAAATGTAAATTCACACCAAATTTGTATATAGACTGAAGTATGTAAGATCATGTAACTACATATTATTCTAATAGGGAAATGTTCATCTAAATCGGAAAAGGGTGGATTCGAAATAAACATATCAAAAGATGTTTAAATCAATCTGAATAACTTGGGAAAATCTGCAATGATATTTTATATGCTAAACTATGGTCTGGTCTCAAATTGATTAAAAAGTTCGGATCAATTTAGCTAAGTATTTGTGTTAATTCTATGTTTTGAACGAGACATTGCCACTTACAGAATTTTACAGGTATGTTTTTTCTTTCATTAAAGAGCATGTTTTGAAATACTATCATGAATAAAAGATGTGATGTTAACGTCAACAAGACACCAACCTAACAGCCCATGTCACTTAAAATAACTCAAAGCCAGCATGGCATTTATGCGCTCTTGAAACAGATTAGTTTTCCCGCTTTTAATGACTCTAATTATTAAATTTAACGGGAATTTATATGATTCTTAAATTTCAGGATTCGTGATACGTACGAGTGCAAATGATTTAACTTATAAATGTGCTCTGTAGTTTTATACGGCATAACGGATGCATTGCGTTAAGATAAAAGATAAACTCCTCTTTCAATTTTGATGTCATACAAGATTTACACAAAGAAACAAATAGTTTTTTCAGCATTCCCTTTTAGACATGTTTTATGACAAAGACAAATACTAAATGGAAAACTTTAGAGCGAACACAATTAATCAATGGATGCACGCTTTATACAAAAAAAAAAACTTTCAAAGTATAATCACTCAGAAAATGAACAAAAGAGTGTATGTCTAATCAGAAGTTCATTACTAAAACGTAATGCTTAGTAATGGACTTCTGGTCTAGCATGTATCTAATTTGCAAATTATAGCTAACATAGTACTGGAAGCAAAGACTACTGGCGGAAAATAAATACTCTCGCTGACTAACGGTATTTTTTATGCTGTTAGTTTGTATGGAGAACAGTAAGTGAAAAAATTATAAACTAAATTCTGTATTAAAAACAGGGTTCATTTAATGCATAATACCCTTAAACGGCAAAATGCAGCCAAATCATTACAGTAAAAATAATTAGATCTGAAGCTTTAAACAAATTTTTAAAAACCATGAACTGCTATTTCCAATTTCACACATTAATCAGATATATAAGATTTTAGAACTCGAAGGCAGTTCATGTCTGTTTTATTATTGTCTGGTTGTGTCTTATCGACATTCCTCCATATCTTCTTATTAAACGGCAGTGTATAATGCTCAAATATTTTTGTTAAACACCTTAAAAAAAAGTATTTTGGCTACAAAAAAGACAACAAAACATATTTTAAAGAATATAAAATAAAGTTAGGTACAATAGACATTCTCAAAAGAAACATTAAAACAAAGACGTGAAGAAAGAGATGAAAGAGTAAATACTTACAATCAGCAATTAAATAAAATCCAAATACTGTTGTTATAGATATAAGGAGTATACATATTTGTAAATTTCTGGCTTTTACTTCCATTGTGACCCTGTTTGGTTACGCTCGCCTGCAATTGATGTTACAATTACACTGCTCCTTCCGCCTTCGTCTCGGGGTAACTTTATGATTGTACTCGGAATGAAAATTCTTCACTTAGACTCTGTTAGTATAATCCCTTTAAAGGGATCACTGATCACACCAAATTATTTTAATATTATTAATATTATTTTATATTATTCTTAATCATAATTTGAAATGTTAAGCTATTTAAATAATGACCTAAATCTATTGAATTTTTGTTCTAATATTGTTGTACTATTGCCTTCTGTTAAAACAAATGTAAGACGATTATAATTTGCAGTGTCCTAACTGGGTATGCTAAGTTTAATAGATCACGGTTAGTCATGGTAAATTTCATAACAAACAAACTGTGTACGTAATTCCACATTTTATTTATTTATTGTAACTGATACCTATAATTTCATTGCCATTTACGGTATTCGGCTTATTTAAATATTCCTCGTCTTAGTTTTATCAAATGTTTAAAAAGGCCCGTTTTAAATTTATTCATTTGGTCTATCAGAATTCTCGTTTAGTTTCGAAGGGTTCAAAGATGGTAGATCTACCCCTGTCACGCGACAATATATCCTCTTTTTCTTTTGGATGTCCTAATTTACCGACCTTCATCCCGGTCAACTTTGTGTCCCAGACTACCCACTTTGCAGAACACACCTATTGGATTTATTGTTAATCTGATGTGTTCTCGTCCTGAATATACATGAAATATTTGCCACCGTTAATGAACCACAAATCAATCATCTATCTGAATCCAAGTCTATTCTAATCATAATTTACTTTACACAGTCGCACTTCACACACATTTTTGGGAGCAAAAACAATTCCCTCAATTATCACTCCAAAATAAAGAGTTATAAATGAATACTATACATATAGATAAACAATTAGAAAGAGGGAATATTCTTGACGAAGACGTATAAATGAATAATAATGAAATATAAACTGACAAAATAAATAAATAACAAAAATGAACTGAATTCTGCGTAATGCGCGGCGAATGTTTTCGTGTGATTTTGGTAGCTCATAGATAAATTTTCATTCTCCCTTTAAACTTAGTCTCTGTGTAAATTGAGTAAAACTCGATTTTAATGACAAATGAAATTTTTATTCTGAAAAAAAAAAAATAAGTTAGAAAAAAACATAACTTTTCTAGAGGTCATTGATGTGTAAACTGGGCCGACAAACTCTCAAACAGAATAAAAGTTCGAAATCTGAATACCAAACGGTACAAATACGCAATACTTGACAATTAATTAAAAGTACTCTAGCATTCTAAATATATTGCGGGATTTTCTCGTTGCGTTGTAGACCCATTGGTGGCCTTGTGCGGTTTTCTGGTGTTTGGTCCGGTGTTGTTGTCTCTTTGACACATTACCCGTTCCCATTTTCTATTCTATGGATGCAAGTATATTGCAATCTTAACATATTTCTTGATTTTTGTTTAAAGTTGTCTTCCCATTTCATATCTATGGTGTGTCTGGGATTAATAAGGCACCTTGAATCTATTTCTTTTTGATGATGGAATAGAAACCATTTAAGCGAACAAATGAAGAAACATTAGTTTATTTATTTGTTTAACTTAATTCTCATTCAATCCCTTCTGTAATGAGATATACTATCTGTTATTTTGACTTCCATGTTAACAACCGCATTCTGAGTGTATAGGCAATGCATTTGTGCATAAAAAAGGTGTTTTCAATATCCCAAAATGTGCTTTTTTAGTAAACTGTTCGCGCAAGCAGTCATTATCTTGGCGAATCGTTTATTTACTACGTGAATATTAATTTTGGAAATAAAATTTGTAATCGATATGCTACCATTGTGCTATGAGACAGACTTGGCGGAAGAATTAAGTGAAAAGTCCTCCAACCTAGTATGTGTACGATTCAGTCCCGTACAGGTCCCCAGTTAATGTACGATTCAGTCCCGTACTGATCCCCAGTTAATGTACGATTCAGTCCCGTACAGGCCCCAAGTTAATGTACGATTCAATCCCGTACAGGTCCCCAGTTAATGTACGATTCAGTCCCGTACAGGTCCCCAGTTAATGTACGATTCAGTCCCGTAGAGGTCCCTAGTTAATTCATTGTACAATAGCAGCATTTCAAGTTGTCTTTTCTAGGCATTTCATGAAAAGGTATTTTAAACTAATTTGAAGGGATCTGAAATTAGTGTATGGTCCTTCAATTTTAGGACATCTAGTCGGCCGAAGGTCTTCAGGAGTCTTGTAACCACTACAGTATTTAACCTTATAATTATTAAATACACTTTTTGTACATTTTGAAGTCCCTTATTTCTTGCCGACTTCGTTTCTTTATTAATATGAGGCTGACTTCGTACAGGAACTTCTTAGGAAGAAAGATAAGAAGTTAGCAATATCCTTTAACTTTACTTTCCGCTATATAGATGATGTTCTCTCACTAAATAATTCAAAATTTGGTGACTATGTTGAACGCATCTATCCCATCAAACTAGAGATAAAGGATACAACAGATACAGTTAAATCTGCCTCATATCTTGACATACATCTAGAAATTGACAATGAGGGTCGGTTGAAAACAAAACTTTACGAAAAAAGAGATGATTTCAGCTTCCCAATTGTGAACTTTCCATTTCTATGTAGCAACATTCCAGCAGCGCCTGCATACATAGTATATATCTCCCAATTAATACGATATTCCCGGGCTTGTATTTCCTATCATGATTTCTTTGATAGAGGGTTGCTGCTCACAAGGAAGCTATTACGCCAAGAGTTCCAAATGGTGAAGTTGAAATCATCCCTTCGTAAATTTTACGGACGCCATCACGAGTTGCATGGTTGACCGTTATGGAATAACTGTTTCACAGATGATATCGGATATGTTACTTATGTCGTAATTACAATCCACTTCCTTTTTCACCACGAATATGACCTACCGAATTAGACTATTTACCGGATTTGTAATAACATGAGCAACACGAAGGGTGCCACATGTGGAGCAGGATCTGCTTACCCTTCCGGAGCACCTGAGCTCACCCCCAGTTTTTGGTGGGGTTCGTGTTACTTAGTCTTTAGTTTTCTATGTTGTGTCTTGTGTACTATTGTTTGTCTGTTTGTCTTTTTGTTTTTTGGCCATGGCGTTGTCAGTTTATTTTCGATCTATGAGTTTGACTGTCCCTCTGGTATCTTTCGCCCCTCTTTTATTTGTCTCATCAATAATTTGTCATCTTGATGTCTATATATATAGGGCATTCCGGGAATCTCAGAACATCTTGAGGTCTTTATATGGGCACTGATCTTGAGGTCAATATATCAGTGTTCAATGTAATGGCAACTTGAGGTCAATATGCTGTTGGTTGAATCCTTGTCATCGGGAATATTGTCTTTGTGGGGACTGAGCAAGTTATTTTTTAACTTATTTAATGTCTTCTTGCTCTTATCAGCATTAAATGGCAGACAAAGGCAACAGTAGTATACCGCTGCTCAAAAGTCATAAATCGATTGAGAGAAAAGAAAATCCGGGTTACAAACTAAAACCGAGGGAAACACATCAACTATAAGTGGAAAACAAAGGAACAACAGAAACACTGAAGTGCAACAAAAACAAACGCCAACATACATAGAAACGAACTATTTGATAACAACTGCCAAATTCATGACTTTGTACAGGACATTTTAAGAAAAAATGGTGGGTTGAACCTGGTTTTATGGCTAGCCAAACCTCCCGCTTATATGGCAATGTTAAAAAAAAAAGCTAAAATGACAGAAATACAGCACAAACACACGCAAGAACACTCGATCATCACAGAGAAACGCACAAATAAATAACATAATAGTCGATACAACATGTAAACCGCAGAATAACAACGAACATCTTCCATTAACGACAGACAGCACTGGACATCACAAACAGTGACTTATTTCATAATACTAGTCCAAACAGTTATCCCCCAAGGGTGACTGGGGAATAGAAATATGGTCACCATTGGTCTCCCTCCGACCGGCGGTAAAACCCTCGCTGAAGTGGGGCGTTCGTTTGGCTGTGCGGGATGTACAAGTTCGCAGTCACGTCCGGTCAGAATGGGGACGTTAAATCCGATGCCTCGTGTAAAGAGAGTGCCACGTTCTTTGCACGTTAAGAACCCTTGCAACAACTCTTTGAGGGGTCAGTAGGTGGCCTGTTGCAAGGATAAATTTTTGTCCTTATCCAATATACCCTCATTTTCCCGTGGCAATCCAAATTTCCCCCGACCTTCATCCCGGACGGCCTCTATTACAGGACCTACCTATTGTATTTATTGTTAACTTGTTCTCGTCCTGAACATGCATGAAATATTTGCCATTGGACGTTAAAGCAACCAACAACAAATCAATCATATTATCATGATAATGATGGTATTGAAAGGCTATTTTATAATTATTTGGACTACAAACGATAAGACATAACACATTATCCAATCGAAACCAAGTTCGACACCACAACAGAAATATCACATAGTTGGATGTTTAAAATACAGTGACACGTCGTATAGCAATGCAAATTCACACTCGGCAAAACAGTCATATTCGGGAATAGGTCACGTTCAGTACTTAGCAGACAGACGACATAGATGTTAAACCACAATCTAAGACGTGCATGGCAAAAATCTCATTAGTTAGTTTAAATACAGACACATCGTATAGATCAACCAATTCGTGATGGTGGCCATAAAATTTACGGAGTGTCATTTTGAATCTTTCCTCCTCATAACTCTGTTGGAACAGTTTCTGCGCAAGGAGCACACTCCTGTATATGAAGAGCGTATAGTGTGAACATGCACGAGCATAACGTATCAATTGAGATATGTAAACACCATACGATGGAGCAGAGGGTATGTTACTGCTGAGAAATGGGAAATTGATTATTGGGAAGTTGAAAGTCATCCCGTTTGTCATAGATTTTAGTGTGAAGTCGTCCATCTGTGTCAATATTGAGGAAACGTTCAAGGTATGAAGCAGTCTTTCTGGTATCAGTAGTATCCTTTATTTCAAGTTCACTGGGATATATGAGATGCAAGTACTGACTGAAATATGGGTTATTCAGTGATAGGACACCATCAATATATCTGAAAGTAAAATTAAAGAATTTTGCAAGGTGTTTTTTCTTTTTGTCTTTTAGAAGGTTCTGAATGCATTCTGATTCATACGAGTACAAAAACAAGTCGGCCAGAAGGGGTGTACAATTAGGACCCATTGGAATACTGACTGTCTGTTGAAATATCAATCCTCCAAACTCAACAAATATATTGTCGATTAAAAAGTCCAGCATTTTGATAATATCATCTTTGAACAGTGTATTTTCTGATAGAATCAGTGTGGTTCTTCACAAAATAAGAATTATTATAACCCAAAACAAGAAATTTATATCTACGCTTCCCATTTTTATAGGAAAAGCTCTGTTTAATGAGTCGGTGAAGTCTATCTTTCAATTGTCACGTGAAGTCTATCTTTCAATTGTCAATTTGAGCATGGGGAATAGTAGTGTAAAGTGTAGCATCGAAAAAATAAAGGTCTTAATGTTGCTGCAAAATTGCAGAGATTGTGGGCTAAGATTTAGCAGTAGATCTTTAGAATTTTTGAGAATCCACATCTGATTGACACCACTGGTAGAATATATCTCATCACAATATTTTTGAAGGCCAGTACTGTAGTTAGTATAATGTTACCCCTCTATTCTTATTTTCAAACTGATGGGGGAGGAGGTAGAGTTTTTGATAATTAGGAATTGTTTCGTGGAGCATTTGATGGATCCTTGTAAAATCATTTCTAAATTTAAAAAAAAAAAAATGAGTGTCGTTCAAAGTTTCTCCTGTTGGGTTGCATCTGTAGCTGTCCATGAATTATAAAATAGATTAAAGAACACCGAAATTGAATTTTCCGGATAAGTAGTCCGTCTCGAAAATTAGTATTTAAAGGTAAACTTCCTCTTCTGAAAAGTGAAACCAAAGTCTAAAAAAAAAGAAAGTTTGAAGTATTATAATAATTGGACAATAAGATAAAAACAAATGTTTGTAAAGTTGGTAAGTTTACATAACTTTGTTGATTTAGAATGATAATGCACTGCTAGTTATTAAAAAATATAAGCACCAACAAATATTTTTGTCGTCAATGTCGATGGGAATCCCTTTTGAATTTCAGGATAGTATACTTTCAACCAACACAAAGCGTGATCTTGCAAATCAATACATGAAATAGTTTTATTTTAATATAAGATGATTTTCGAAATCTTACTGATATTCCTATGCCAGTCGTAGAAAAATACCAATCATTGGAAAACAAAAATTTTAAAAATAAAAATAAAAGCTGAAATATATGTACATATATATATGAAAAAAAGAAGATTGAACACTCTTTGGAAACACCACTAGAGCCAACAAAACATCTTTTGAATAGAGATTGGCAGAAAGACAGCTACAATTGAAAATCCCATCAAAGTAAAAACTGGTTCATCATGGTCATAGAGGTCAAGAAAATTTTCCTGATATATTACTTGGTTGGCTGCCAAAAATTATCTTCTGGTGAAAAACGCACTAATTTTTGTTTTGTTTTGTTTTCAGCTTTCCTTTGTGGTTGGAATTTATGTAGGAATTTATATTGACCAGCATTATCAGGTAATATTTGATATAAGTGCATAAGTGTAGTTACAATGGTAGCTATCAAGGTATATACATATTGTCTGTGATGTTACTTCAAAACAAATTGACAATGCATAGGGAAAGTTAATAGTCAATGTAATAAAAATGAAAAGAACAACTTACAAATGTATCCATAAATTAACACAACTGGTGACAGATCAACACTGATAATTAACTCATGTACTTCATCGATATCATATTCATGGATTGTTGTTCTGTCACTGGTGGAATATTTTTCTACATTTGAATTCTTGGATTAGTTATTCTATTAATATTAAAATATAGAGATACATTGTATGGTTTAATTTCCAATGAGACAGTCACTCACCAAAGTTTAATATTAGCATCTGAAGGTTAATGAAACACTGTACTTATGTACATCCTTTGACAATAATCCTATAAATGATATGCCATCATCTAAAACTCCCACAAATTGATGTGAAACAATTCATAAGATTTTTAACAAACATATTATGGGTTATCCACAGTCAAGATCTGGTCAGTTTTTGCTTCTCAATATTTTTTTTATGTAAGTGTGCCTGGAAGGGGATGGAAAGGATATAAATGTAGAAAACAAGTTATTGGTAAATCTTCACTTATATATATATATATATATTGGATAAAATCTACTTTTACAACATGTGATACATGATAGCTTAACATTTGATATGAATGCTTGTCTTATCATTGTCACAAAAATCATGATTGCTTTCTCATTTTGCCTTCTTTATTCATAATTTAAGAATTTCTAGTATAATTAGAAATTAATACATTGTTATATGATTTTATTTTTGACTGGCTGGAATAATTGGCACACAAACTTATTGTGGCAAGGCTAATTTAGTTCGTGAATTATTAATCCTCTAGCTTTGGACAGTGAAATATCAGCAAATCAACAATAACAATGTTACACACATAAAAAATCAACATTACTAGGACAAATCAATCATGTGTACAATATCATGCCAGGAGAAAAGGACAAATCAATCATCATGACATCACTAATGCAACAAGTGATAGTACAGAGACTGTGTATTTTATGTATTTTAAGACCTTGTTATCAGTAAAAGCACTTCCAAAGAGATTTAAAGAAATACCCTGTTATCAATTAATTAATTCCAATGAGATTTAAAGAAAGTCTTTGTTATCACTTAAAGCTTCATTGCCCAGTTGTCAATGGATGTTTATTTTCAGTGTTAGGAGTTTTTGTGAATGTATAAAATGTGCCATGGACAATACTTTTACAATCCAATAAAATTACAATTGATTGAACTCCTGAGTAAAATTACAATTGATTGAACTCCTGAGTAATTGTGTTTATTGCAAAAAAATGTTTTATATTTTGATAGATACCAAAGGTAGATGATCCTAGCTCTGTATGGACACAGGTCAGGGAATATGCCAAGCAATTTGAAAAAGACAAGAAGGACAAATGAGATTGACCATGTAGTTTATCCATTGACCAGATGTGACATGACATTCCATGAGTTCATTCTAACTTGCTATTTACCATCTGCCTTTCATTCCTACAACCATGATGATCAAAACAATTACAGTTATCATATATGAGTGATTTGTAATGTTAGTTGTTATACAGAAATTCATTTTTACAAAATGATTGATCTTTTGTAATTTTGTTAGTTCTATAACTGATAAGATGACTGGGCATTGAATATAAATTATGTATATTGTTAATTGTTGTTGACATCAAAATTATAATTAAAATGTCCATATTTTGTTTTCTTACCTTAGTAATTATGTTACACACTGGAGAATTAGGTGGCAGATCGTTGATAGTTTCTGTTGAAATAATTTACAGAATTTATAGTCCTGGGGCCATTTAGAGCTTGACATTTTGTATAGACATCTGTCTATTGTTGAAGACTCTAGGTTACCCTCTAGATGTCATTTTGGTTAATATTGTGGTTGGGTTGCTGTCTCATTGATATATACCCTACAAGTCGATTTATTTATAATTGATGGTCATCATGGAAATTTTGGTTTGCTGTAATGCCAAAAGACAAAAAAGCCCTTACGAAAGTCCAATGCTACAGTTCAAGGTTAATTTCTTGATTTGACCATCCCGGATGTTCATCCTCTGATACTCTGGGTAAGGGAGCAACCATTTAACTTCAAGGGAGGGGGTTATGGTTTTTTTTCTGAGTCAGAAAATTTTTCAACGCTATCAATAAAATTATTTTTTTCAAAATTTAACACTATAAGGTCGTTCCCTAAATGGAAGCAAAACAGCTTAAGTTAAAATTGCATAATGCTGAATTTTTAACTAGATTTCTAGATTGCCTAAAAATTTCAGTTGGATAATTAGTCTGTCTCTAATCAATGCTAATAGAAAAGAAGGAATATCAGGGGAGGATCCAGCCATTTTTAAAAGGGGGGTTCCCAACCCAGGATAAAGGGGGGGTTCCAACTTTATGTCCCCATTCAAATGCATTGATCGTCAAGAAAAAAGGGGGGGTCCAACCCCCCGAAACCCCCCCTGGATCTGCCACTGAATATGATTCATCGATTCATGACACAAAATCCCTACATGGACAAGACAAAACCCAATGCAAAGGAATAACTTTTTTTTTTGTTACTCATCTCTTTTTGTCTATCTGAATAGACTTTTAACAGAATGCTATCTTGAATTTGTTAAGATTTGAGCTGCGACGGATAGAAATCGACCTTATGCAAATGAATTCGAATACATCTGTAAACCTATTTCGGGTTTAAAAAAATCTCCACGGAAAGCCTGTAACTGTTTGGAAATTGAGTTGTCATAAGAACCCTACAAAGCAGTTATTCATCTTTTATTTCGTATTTGAATGTTATATAATCAATCATAGTCTTACACATGTACATGTCAACGTGCACTTGCATAAGGTCGATTTCTATCCGACTCAGCTCATTTTATAACTTTACGTGAAATGTATAAATTTTACAGTTGCTGCTTTCTAGAATTGCGCCCCTTGCAATATTTCAAAAATTATAAATATGGCTTTAATTCGCTTTGGTGTGAAACTTGAAATGCTTTTAGAAAATAACACATTTTCCTTGGAAAAGAGTCATAAAATCATGCAAATTTACTATCTACAATGAAATACAGGTCAAGTTCAATTTTCACTGTTACTGCAATTACCATTCTAGGTTCACACCAACTGAGTTGTTTTAAAAGGATAAAAATTATGGATTCAACAGAACTTTGCCTTGGAATAGGAACATTTTACTTTGAGCATAACTACTTATTTGGAAATACAAATCAAGTTCTATTTTCAACATGTTCATTGTTTCTACAATCACTGTTCTAGAGTCACTTCCCTAGAACATTATAACTAGCTTACTAGTATTAACCTCTGCAGAGTTTTGGTTCTTTAGTAGTTTCTTTCAGTTTGCTCTTTTTATTATGCCCTGCCGTAGTGGAAGGGGCATTAAGTTTTACCCTAGTTCGTCTGTACGTCTGTCCGTCCATCTGTCTGTATGTCCCAAAGTTGAATTCCATTCTCTAACTTTAGTTTACCTCAACCAAATGTTATGAAACTTATACAGAATGCTTATTACCACAAAACACAGATAAAGTTTAAATTTTGTTGGTGTCACTTTAACCGTTCTAGAGTAATGCCCCTTTACAAATGGAAAAATTGCTGATTTTTTTGTTTCCGTTCTCTAACTTTAGTTTACCTCAACCAAATGTTATGAAACTTATTCACAATGCTTATTACCACAAAACACAGATCAAGTTTGAATTTTGGTTGTGTCACTTTAACCGTTCTTGAGTTATGCCCCTTTACAAATGGAAAAATTGCTGAATTTTTTCGTTTCCGATCTCTAAATTTTGCCTCAACCAAATGTTATGAAACTTATACACAATGCTTATTACCACAAAACTCAGATCAAGTACAAATTTAGGTAGCGTCACTTTTACCGTTCTTCAGTTATGTCCCTTTATAACTTTATATGAAATGCAAGCGTGGCATCATCTGTGTCCATTCCCCATTTATTTCAGTTTGTATTTCAGGAAACATCTATATTGACTGCCACAACTGTTCACTTGTTTCAAAGAATATCCTTCCTTGTTGATAGCTGGAGTGCTTACATGAATCTGTATGGATGAAAACATGACTGCAAAACATTATACACTGATCTTTGATAACATTGACATGTATCTATCTATACATATACTTTCAGCTTGGGTTGTAGGGTTGCTGATACATTGATGTTTCCCTTTTCATTCATATATAGATATAAGAAGATGTGGTATGAGTGCCAATGAGACAACTCTCCATCCAAGTTACAATTTATAAAAGTAAACCATTATAGGTCAAGGTACGGCCTTCAACACTGAGCATTGGCTCACACCGAACAGCAAGCTATAAAGGGCCCCAAAAAATTACTAGTGTAAAACCATTCAAACGGAAAAAACCAACGGTCTGATCTAATATTTTCCAGGATGTCATATCAAAGAAAGGGGTTATTATAAAGTAATGATAAAAATAAGTATAATATTAATGTAGGGCCAATGTAACATTAGATATATATTAAACTAGTAGTTTATCTGAAATGTTATATTTTACCCTGAAAATTACACATACCACCTCCAAAGGAGATATGTGTTAATGATACCATCTCCAAAGGAGCTCTGTGTTAAAGATACCACCTCCAAAGGAGCTCTGTGTTAATGATACCACTTACAAAGGACCTCTGTGTTAATGATTCCACTTACAAGGGAGCTCTGTGTTAATGATACCACTTACAAGGGAGCTCTGTGTTAATGATTCCATTTACAAGGGAGCTCTGTGTTAAAGATACCACCTCCAAAGGAGCTCTGTGTTAATGATACCAATACAAGGGAGCTCTGTGTTAATGATACCACCTCCAAGGGAGCTATGTTTTAATGATACCACCCACAAGGGAGCTCTGTGTTAATGATACCACTCACAAAGGAGCTCTGTGTTAATAATACCACTTACAAGGGAGCTCTGTGTTAATGATACCACTAACAAAGGAGCTCTGTGTTAATGATACCACTTACATGGGAGCTCTGTGTTAATGATACCACTTACAAGGAAGCTCTGTGTTAATGATTCCACTTACAAGGGAGTTCTGTCTCAATGAAACCACTTACAAGGGAGCTCTGTCTTAATGATACCACCTCCAAAGGAGCTCTGTGTTAATGATACCAATACAAGGGAGCTCTGTGTTAATGATACCAATACAAGGGAGCTCTGTGTTAATGATACCACCTCCAAGGGAGCTATGTGTTAATGATACCACCCACAAGGGAGCTCTGTGTTAATGATACCACTCACAAAGGAGCTCTGCGTTAATGATACCACTTACAAGGGAGCTCTGTGTTAATGATACCACGTACAAAGGAGCTCTGTGTTAATGATACCACTTACAAGGGAGCTAATGATACCACTTATAATTACAAGGCAGCACTGTGTTAATGTTGGTTATAAATTAAATACTTATTGGTAGACAACAAATTCATTTGGATATGCCTAAATTAGTAGGTCACTGATACCTACAAATATGTACCCTTAGTTCTTTTTGTTTACCCGACTGAATAGGATTGAATATTAACAGAGAGGTAACATGTGTTGCTACTGTCACATTTGTCACATGTGTGTCCTTACTATTGTCACATTTGTGTCCTTGCTACTGTCACATTTGTTACATTTGTGTCCTTGCTACTGTCACATTTGTGTCCTTGCTACTGTCACATGGGTGTCCTTGCTACTGTCACGTTTGTGTCTTTGCTACTGTCACATTTGTGTTCTTGCTATTATCACATTTGTGTCTTTGTTGTGTCCTTGCTACTGTCACATGTGTGTCCTTGCTATTGTCACATTTGTGTCCTTGCTACTGTCATATTTGTGTCCTATCTACTGTCACATGTGTGTCCTTGCTACTGTCACGTTTGTGTCTTTGCTACTGTCACATTTGTGTTCTTGCTATTATCACATTTGTGTCTTTGTTGTGTCCTTGCTACTGTCACATTTGTGTCCTTGCTACTGTCACATTTGTGTCCTTACTACTGTCACATTTGTGTCCTTGCTACTGTCCTTGCTACTGTCACATTTGTGTTCTTGCTATTATCACATTTGTGTCTTTGTTGTGTCCTTGCTACTGTCACATTTGTGTCCTTGCTACTGTCACATGTGTGTCCTTACTACTGTCACATTTGTGTCCTTGCTACTGTCCTTGCTACCGTCATATTGGTGTCCTTGCTACTGTCACATTTGTGTCCTTGCTACTGTCACATTTGTGTTCTTGCTACTGTCACATTTGTGTCCTTGCTATTGTCACTTTTGTGTCCTATCTACTGTCACATTTGTGTTCTTGCTACTGTCACATTTGTGTCCTTGCTACTGTCACATTTGTGTCCTTGCTACTGTCACATTTGTGTCCTAGCTACTGTCACATTTGTGTTCTTGCTACTGTCACATTTGTGTTCTTGCTACTGTCACATGTGTGTCCTTGCTATTATCACATTTGTGTCCTATCTACTGTCACATTTGTGTCCTTGCTACTGTCACATTTGTGTCTTTGCTACTGTCACATTTATGTCCTTACTACTGTGACATTTGTGTTCATGCTACTGTGACATTTGTGTCCTTGCTACTGTCACATTTTTGTTCTTGCTACTGTCACATTTGTGTCCTAGCTACTGTCACATTTGTGTCCTTGCTATTATCACATTTGTGTCCTTGCTACTGTCACATTTGTGTCCTATTTACTGTCACGTTTGTGTCCTTGCTACTGTCACATTTGTGTTCTTGCTACTGTCACATTTGTGTCCTAGCTACTGTCACATTTGTGTCCTTGCTATTATCACATTTGTGTCCTTGGTACTGTCACATTTGTGTCCTTGCTACTGTCACATTTGTGTTCTTGCTACTGTCACATGTGTGTCCTTGCTACTGTCACATGTGTGTCCTTGCTTTTATCACATTTGTGTCCTATCTACTGTCACATTTGTGTCCTTGCTACTGTCACATGTGTGTCCTTGCTACTGTAATATTTGTGTCCTTGTTACTGTCACATTTGTGTCCTTGCTACTGTCACATTTGTGTCCTTGCTACTGTCACATTTGTGTCCTTGCTACTGTCACATTTGTGTCCTTGCTACTATCACGTTTGTGTCCTTGCTACTGTCACATTCGTGTGTCCTTGCTACTGTCACATTTATGTCCTTGCTACTGTCACATTTGTGTCCTTGATACTGTCACATTTGTGTCCTTGCTACTGTCAAATGTGTGTCCTTGCTACTGTCACATGTGTGTCCTTGCTACTGTCACATGTGTGTCCTTGCTATTATCACATTTGTGTCCTATCTACTGTCACATTTGTGTCCTTGCTACTGTCACATGTGTGTCCTTGCTACTGTCATATTTGTGTCCTTGTTACTGTCACATTTGTGTCCTTGCTACTGTCACATTTATGTCTTTGCTACTGTCACATTTATGTCCTTGCTACTGTCACATTTGTGTTCTTGCTACTGTCACATTTGTGTCCTTGCTATTGTCACATGTGTGTCCTTGCACTTGTGTGTCCTTGCTACTGTCACATGTGTGTCCTTGCACATGTGTGTCCTTGCTACTGTCACATTTGTGTCCTTGCTACAGTAATATTTATGTCCTTGCTATTATCACATTTGTGTCCTATCTACTGTCACATTTGTGTCCTTGCTACTGTCACATTTATGTCTTTGCTACTGTCACATTTATGTCCTTGCTACTGTCACATTTGTGTTCTTGCTACTGTCACATTTGTGTCCTTGCTATTGTCACATGTGTGTCCTTGCACATGTGTGTCCTTGCTACTGTCACATGTGTGTCCTTGCACATGTGTGTCCTTGCTACTGTCACATTTGTGTCCTTGCTACAGTAATATTTATGTCCTTGCTATTATCACATTTGTGTCCTATCTACTGTCACATTTGTGTCCTTGCTACTGTCACATTTGTGTCTTTGCTACTGTCACATTTATGTCCTTACTACTGTGACATTTGTGTTCATGCTACTGTGACATTTGTGTCCTTGCTACTGTCACATTTGTGTTCTTGCTACTGTCACATTTGTGTCCTAGCTACTGTCACATTTGTGTCCTTGTTATTATCACATTTGTGTCCTTGCTACTGTCACATTTGTGTCCTTGCTATTATCACATTTGTGTCCTTGGTACTGTCACATTTGTGTCCTTGCTACTATCACGTTTGTGTCCTTGCTACTGTCACATTCGTGTGTCCTTGCTACTGTCACATTTGTGTCGTTGCTACTGTCACATTTGTGTCCTTGATACTGTCACATTTGTGTCCTTGCTACTGTCAAATGTGTGTCCTTGCTACTGTCACATGTGTGTCCTTGCTACTGTCACATTTGTGTCCTTGCTATTATCACATTTGTGTCCTATCTACTGTCACATTTGTGTCCTTGCTACTGTCACATGTGTGTCCTTGCTACTGTCATATTTGTGTCCTTGTTACTGTCACATTTGTGTCCTTGCTACTGTCACATGTATGTCTTTGCTACTGTCACATTTATGTCCTTGCTACTGTCACATTTGTGTTCTTGCTACTGTCACATTTGTGTCCTTGCTATTGTCACATGTGTGTCCTTGCTACTGTCACATGTGTGTCCTTGCACATGTGTGTCCTTGCTACTGTCACATGTGTGTCCTTGCTACTGTCACATTTGTGTCCTTGCTACAGTTATATTTATGTCCTTGCTACTGTCACATGTGTGCCCTTGCTACTGTCATATTTGTGTCCTTGCAACTGTCATATTTGTGTCCTTGCTACTGTCATATTTGTGTCCTTGCAACTGTCATATTTGTGTCCTTGCTTCTGTCACATGTGTGTCCTTGCTTCTGTCATATTTGTGTCCTTGCTTCTGTCACATTTGTGTTCTTGCTACTGTCACATTTGTGTCCTTGCTACTGTCACATTTGTGTCCTTGCTACTGTCAGATGTGTGTCCTTGCTATTGTCACATTCGTGTCCTTGCTACTGTCACATGTGTGTCCTTGCATCTGTCACATGTGTGTCCTTGCTACTATCATGTTTGTGTCCTTGCTACTGTCACATTTGTGTCCTTACTACTGTCACATTTGTGTCCTTGCTACTGTCACATTTGTGTCCTTGCTACTGTCACATTTGTGTCGTAGCTACTGTCACATTTGTGTCCTAGCTACTGTCACATGTGTGTCCTTGCTACTGTCACATGTGTGTCCTTGCACATGTATGTCCTTGCTACTGTCACATGTGTGTCCTTGCTACTGTCACATTTGTGTCCTTGCTATTGTCATATTTGTGTCCTTGCTACAGTATTATTTATTTCCTTGCTACTGTCACATGTGTGCCCTTGCTACTGTCATATTTGTGTCCTTGCTACTGTCATATTTGTGTCCTTGCTACTGTCACATTTGTGTTCTTGCTACTGTCACATTTGTGTCCTTGCTACTGTCACATGTGTGTCCTTGCTACTGTCACATGTGTGTCCTTGCTACTGTCACATTTGTGTTCTTGCTACTGTCACATTTGTGTCCTTGCTACTGTCATATTTGTGTCCTTGCTACAGTATTATTTATTTCCTTGCTACTGTCACATGTGTGCCCTTGCTACTGTCATATTTGTGTCCTTGCTACTGTCATATTTGTGTCCTTGCTACTGTCACATTTGTGTTCTTGCTACTGTCACATTTGTGTCCTTGCTACTGTCACATGTGTGTCCTTGCTACTGTCACATGTTTGTCCTTGCTACTGTCATATTTGTGTCCTTGCTACAGTCATATTTATGTCCTTGCTACTGTCACATGTGTGCCCTTGCTACTGTCATATTTGTGTCCTTGCTACTGTCACATGTGTGTCCTTGCTACTGTCACATGTGTGTCCTTGCTACTGTCACATTTGTGTCCTTGCTACTGTCACATTTGTGTCCTTGCTACTGTCACATGTGTGTCCTAGCTACTGTCACATGTGTGTCCTAGCTACTGTCATATTTGTGTCCTTGCTACTGTCATATGTGTGTCCTTGCTACTGTCATATGTGTGTCCTTGGTACTGTCACATGTGTGTCCTTGGTACTGTCACATTTGTGTTCTATCCTGTACATTTCCAATGTCACAATGCTTATGAATTACATTACAATAAAAGGCTTTTGTTCAGTGGTGTCAATTAAGACAGTTCATTTATATAAATGAACCTAAAATTGGTCTATTTGACTGGAAAATCATGGAATTTTATTGCAACCAGTATAATAACAAACTTTAATTTTCATGTCAAACCTTTTTATATATTAGTCTTAGATACATGATTTCTTTTATTAGTTGTTATTGGCTTTGAACTTGTTGTCAGTAACTGCGAGTACTCTCAGATCTATTCTTTGTGTCTTTTGTTGTAATAGGGATGTATATTAAAATACCCTGCCACGTCTGGTCTGTGTTTTTGTTAGATGTTTTTCTGCTTTGTATTAATCTGATGAGTTGGGCCATTGTATAGTTTTTTCTTATGTTGTGCTGTAACACTAATGTCTTAGGTTAGGGGGAAGGTTGAGAGCTCACAAAAATGTTTAACCCGCCACATTCTTTATGTGCCTGTCCCAAGTCAAGAGTCTGTAGTTCAGTGGTTGTTGTTGGTTCATGTCTGTCATATTTGTTTTTCGTAAATTGTTTTGTTATAAATTAGGCTGTTAGTTTTCTCAATTGAATTGTTTCATATTTTTATGTTGGGGCCTTTTACAGCCGACTATATGATATGGGTTTTTCTTATTGTCGAAGGCCGTACGGTTACATATAATTGCTAACACCCACTTTATCTGAGCTTGGGTGGATAGTTGTCTCTTTGCATTCATTAGATATAGGAAGATGTGGTATGAGTGCCAATGAGACAACTCTCCATCCAAGTTACAATTTATAAAAGTAAACCATTATAGGTCAAGGTACGGCCTTCAACACGGAGCATTGGCTAACACCGAACAGCAAGCTATAAAGGGCCCCAAAAAATTACTTGTGTAAAACCATGCATACCTCACCTCCTTATTTTTACATTGGGCATTATTTTTCTATTAGTCAGCTTCAAAACATAAATAGATATATTACTTTTATTTTCTGATTTCTTGGACAATATTCAACAATTTTTTCATCATAAATTCATTTCATCAATAGTACAAAAATGATGAAATATACATTTTAAAAATATTGCACAATTTATTCATCACAAAAAAATCACATCACAATCATATTTTATGATTAATATTAATATACAAATTTTGTACAAATGCCATAAATTTGTCAATTTTCAGACACCATAGAAATATTTTTCCATGTATACTTCTATTCTACCATATGACAGGTAACATATACAGGCACGGATTCAAATAGGGGTACACCTGGCATCCCCCTCCCCTAAAAAAGGAAAAAATTTGTAAATTTATAGGTAAAATTACAGCCAATATGGTCCTACTCCTAATTCTCATGAGCGACCCAGTAAATTCAAAAAAAATCATCAAAAGATCTGCCATCTGCCTATCTCTAAATAAGAATGTTACAATATAACATTTATACATCACACCTTCTTGCTTTGGTTATTTACACACAGATACAGATTCTTAATTGTACACTACCAAGTCTGTTGAATTTCTGTACTAGTACTTTGAATCAGAAATCTTTGTATAATGTCTTGCTATGAACTTTTATCAACTGAGAAAAATACCTTGAGTTACCCACCAACCTTCAGTAAATAAAGATCTCTATTCCCATGTTCAAATGCACAATAACAGAAGAATGCAATGGTTATGACATGCAGAAAAGGACCTATTCAAAAATATAGACGACAAAAAGTAACTATGGCTTTTCCATAAGTCTCAAACTTTTTCATTCAGACATAAAGTGATCTATACATAAAGACAAAAAACAACAAACTAGACCTGTTTCACGAGTCTCATATTTCACTTCCTGTTTAATCTTCATTGTTTGTTAATTATTATGCGAATATTGATATAATTTTTAACTGAAACATATATCCTATAAAAGAGAAGGCACTTATATAATGTATTTTTAAAAAAAATCCAATATTTTGGTGAAAGAGGTATTATCAACCCTGATTATTAAATATGGACATGGTTGGATCTTATTGAAAATCTTTCACTAATGAATGTCATATAGCACATACAGGGTTAGAATATATCTAAAAACTAAATGAGAATAAAACAATTCTACAATATCAACCTGTTATTTTCTTAGTAATCTAGCCTCATATTATAAAATATTATTCAAATAAAACATTTGTCACAAGTCATAAATAAAATGACATTTTCTTAATATTATATATTATAACATGTGCTTAATATTGTATAAATGACATTTGCTTAATATTGTATATCATAAAATGTGCTTAATATTTTATAAATGACATGTGCTTATAGTATTTGTTGTTAAGAGATTCAAAGAATAATGAAATGTTCTAATGATTAAGATTTCATACTTACTGTTTAAACAGACAAGTAATGGTGGTAATTTATGGACAACCTTGGGTAAAACCTGAACCAAAACACCTTCTGATTTTCGTTTCAAGATATTTGTAAATAACATAAGTAACAACCAATTTTCATTGTTAATTATATATATGTTGGATAGTATGCACTGTATACAGCAGAATAACGGGAGACAACTCCCTCAATTTCAGGCAATTCATTGAAAAACATATGATTATTTTTGGAAAAAAATTGATAGGATAAAAAAATAATAATTACAAGTTGTTTAGCACCATCACTATAAAAAAAGTTTTCTAATGTAATACCACCATAATTTTGAATGATGTGGCATAACAAAGCCATCAATCAATTAATGTATTTATATGTAAAAGTGAATCTTGTAAATCTTGTGTGGAAAAGTAAAGGATTTATCCATTGCACATAGGAAATCTGTAAATAACCAATGAAAAAAAAGTATTTATATAGAACTTTAAATTGAGAATTTTCTAAACTTTAGACACATCATATATATATAAACAAATGAAGATTTCAAGAGAATGTGATAATTGCAAGAAAAAAAAATTATTTCATTATCTGCCTAAAACTGTTATGTTAAGATAATTAAACTTTCAAAAGCTTGGCTATACCAACTAAATACTTTAAGACAACAAATGTATTTTTAACATTAAATATGAACCTCATTTTCAGCTATATATATAGAAATAATGACAGAATGTGAAAGATACTAAAAATGTGAATTGACTAGAAGTAGTAGAATGTTACAGATTGTTCCCTTTTATTCACAACCATTACACTCATGCTGCCCTTGAATGGACTTACAAGTTCTAAGGCAGGTTTTTCTGTATTTGTCGAGATTCATAAAGCCTTGCTAGGATTTTAACTGTGACTGCTGTTGTCATAATGTTGACTCCAAAAAATTAAGTCAATTTATCAGTAAAATACAAAAAAAATATAAACTTTGCTCAGACTGCTATCTCTTGATTTTGAAGAAGCTACTGTCCCCAATTTGTAAATGATAGTTAAATATTGTAAAATGAAAAAAAATCAAAAAAATACTCTTGATTATGAAGAAGATTTTGTAAAATGTTCCTGAAATTCCAAGGTTTGAAAAGGTTATTGATATTTTAAAAACTTTCACCCTAGCCTATGTACAAAGTTAAACTAGAAAAAAACTATTAAAGTCCATTCATTGGTAAAATACAAGAAATGAAAAAAAAAAAACATTCTCTAAAATATTTTTCCTGATGCTATAGCTTGATCAAGAAGAAACTTCTCTCCAAGTTTCCTAAATTTCAATGAATGTTTGACAAAATTATTGATGTCTAAAAAACTAAATATTGACAAACCTACAACATAATCTAGGATCGCTATGTTTTGCCTTCTCAACATTTGCAAGTGGGACAAAATGGTTAAAATCTTCTCAAAAGTTAATATTATGCAAATTTAAATATAAAAACTTATGGCCCACTTTGATAGCAGTTGAAAATATTATTTAAAATATGATTCAATTTAGAGGGCCTCTAATTGTTACCTCTCTGGACCTTTTTGCCCTAATTTGGAATTATTGTAACGAAACTATATCAATTCCTAAATTCTTATCTAGTTTTCAATTTGGGCAGGTTTGTTAGCTTTTTATTATTGTCACTGCTTGTGACATAAAACATGACAGACCATGATTCTTTTATAAGCACCTTGAAAACATAAAATAAAAAATCTGAATAAATAATTGCTATATTTTGTTGGCAACGAGAATCTAGAAATAAATTTATCTTGCCTTACGAATTTAGCTTAAAGCGAAATAATATACATTGTATGTTTTGAAATCATTGTAAATGTGGAGATTTATAAATGCAGTTTCACCAAAAAAAGCTTGAAATTAGTGTTAATAAAAGCTCTGATTAATTGTTGACTTTATGGTATACAAATGGCACAATCTGATTAATGACAATATAAAATATTCATATAAAAATAATTTTTGATAATAAAAAGCTTATCATACATCTGAGAATTATGTTTACAAAGCAAAGATTTGAGCAAGATAAAGTCTGGTGTAAGATGAATAAATGCACGTATACTCTTACATAGTATACACAGAAATATATATAAAATACTGTAAATTCAGAAATTATTGCGTGCATTTATTATTGCGATTTTGTCATTTTAGACTTAATTGCGATTTTAATTTTTACGATTTTGAGAAAAATCATGTTTAATTCATATAAAATATTTCAAAATGCGTGTTTAAATTATTGCGTTTACAACTCTGTCGCATTTTTCGCAATAATAAAAACCTCGCAATAATTTCTGAATTTACAATAATAAGAAGTGGTATGATTGTCAATGTAACAACTATCCACCATACATCAACATTTACCTTAACATTAATTAAATAAAAAGGTGATTGAAAAGATACTGCATTGAAGACCCATTGGTGGCCTTCGGCTGTTGTCTGATCTATGGTCGGGTTATTGTCTCTTTGACACATTCCCCATTTCCATTCTCAATTTTATTGTCATGTAAAAATAGTAAGAAAACTATCAATTTTGGGGTCTTAAACCTCTTTCTCAAAATCCTGGAACCATTACAATATGGGTGCCACATGTGGAGCAGGATCTGCTTACCCTTCGGGAGCACCTGAGATCACGCCCAGTTTTTGGTGGGGTTCGTGTTGCTTAGTCTTTAGTTTTCTATGTTGTGTCATCTGTACTATTATTTGTCTGTTTGTCTTTTTATTTTTGGCCATGGCATTGTCAGTTTTTTTTTCGATCTATGAGTTTGACTGTCCCTCTGGTATCTTTCGTCCCTCTTTTACAGTGAAGTGTATATTGTCCTTTGTTGATACATTGTGTTTCCCAAGTATATACTTCTATAATTATGGAATCAATTTCGGAGATAAATAAAATAAAACATTTCTTACTATCCCAACACATTCTTGACAGTAAATTAAATTTGTAGTAATAAATAAACACATTGATTTTTAAACTTTACAAACAAATCACCTTAACACAACATTTATCATACATAAAATAAAAGCACTAAAGTATTGTCACATTAACATAACATTTATCATACATAAAATAAAAGTACTAAAGTATTGTTCAACAACATATTAACATAATCTTAAGTCATGAATAATAAGAAAATGATGATGACAACTTAGTAATCTTCTCAAAATGTTGCAGTTTTTTTTATAATAACTATGACTTCATTTTTCTTTTGGTCATAGTGATTCCATTTCTTTGACCTATGGCTGTTAATTGACCCTTTGGTATACTCTTAAGTACTATTTAAATAAGAAACTGACCTAAGCACAAAACTAAAGGTTGATCAACAGGTTTAAAGTTAAGGTCAGGTTATCCCTTTCAGACAGACCATGTACACCTTATGAATGGAAATCAGTATCATACATCTATTTATAGAACAAATACAGTTGACCTATGATTCATCAAAACTGATAAACTGATCAAAAGGTGATCACTGAACCATGAAAATGAGATCAAAGGTTAGATTCCCCATCTCAGATGTACACCTTGTACATATTTATATAACTACAATTCTATAGATCAAATTGACATTTGACCTTGACCATACTAACACGACAATATACACAAATTGTATCTTTAGCACTAGATCTAAGCTTGGTTTAAAGAGAGCTTATGGCATTGAAAATGTTTACAGGGACAATATGAGAGCATAGCTACTATTAAACCTCTGGTTTACCCTTGCCTGATATAAAAAAAATATAACTTTGGCTTATGACCTTGAGCTAATACATAAGGACGTTATGATAACACATCCTTTGCTTCTGATCTGAGAACATTATTTTGTTAATTAGATCCTCATTAATAATTTGATATATTTTGGTTAACACTATGTAAATGTTAAAACAACATCTCCATTGGGGGTCTCATTGGGGGGTGCTAATCCCGGATCCCGCTTACTGTTTTGTCAGATTCCCATATCCCGCTTACACTATGTACGTAAGCAATTCTTATTTTTTTGTAATTTCCCGTGTCCCGCTAGACTTCATTTCCCGTTTTCACGGCACAATAATTTGACTTTCACGTGTCACGCTTACAAAAAATCGGCAATCCCGGGTCACGCTTAGACCCCAATGAGACCCACTCCATTAGCCAACACTGACTTAATTCAGCAAAAACAATAATCACAACCAAGTCGTGACACTGTCAACCTCAGCTCAAAACATCAAATCATCACAAAACATGGCAGAAACTGTCAACCTCAGCTCAAAACATCACCCTTCACAAAACATGGCAGAAACTGTCAACCTCAGCTCAAAAACATCACCCTTCACAAAACATGGCAGAAACTGTCAACCTCAGCTCAAAACATCACCCTTCACAAAACATGGCAGAAACTGTCAACCTCAGCTCAAAACATCACCCTTCACAAAACATGGCAGAAACTGTCAACCTCAGCTCAAAAACATCACCCTTCACAAAACATGGCAGAAACTGTCAACCTCAGCTATAAACATCACCCTTCACAAAACATGGCAGAAACTGTCAACCTCAGCTCAAAACATCACCCTTCACAAAACATGGCAGAAACTGTCAACCTCAGCTCAAAACATCATCCTTCACAAAACATGGCAGTGATTGTATCAATTATGATAGATTAGTTTACACAAGTTTTGTAATAAAAATCTGACAAATTGTTTCTTGTTTTTAAATACATAAAGACAATGGACGAAGTAATAGTGAACATTCTTTGGTAATTAGCACCATACGAAAGAGGTAAACTTTGACCTCATATAGAAGCAATCCTTAAATAAATATCTTCTCTTTCATCACCTTAAAAATCAATAAATTTCTTTAAAATATTTTCTACTGTCAATACTTCCTGTTAAATTCACTTTTGACTATAAAATTTAATCAACACACAAGACAGATGATAATTTCCCCTATCCTCCTTTACCAGTTTAGCGCATCCCAACTTATTTTTCAATAATCTAGGTACAGAGTTTTCCAGACATAAATAATGGGAGGATCAGAACTCCCTTATATCTTTTTTTAAACCACTAGATGATATTTCATCAGTTTTTTCTGATTTTCATGCATTACAGAAAACAATTAAAATTCTGTGGGTACCTTCACAAAATAAAAATGGAGTTCCAACCCTCAAATGGTGAATTGATGAATTAGTCAATCTGTTCATAATTACTATAATGCATATAGTTCAAATGACTGCTTTTATGCTATAGAGGTTTAAGAATATTTCATTGCATTAACGCCCATCTTGTTTTATGTATGGGGGCATTTACAATTTACTGACAAGGTTTTCTTGGCCTTATACAAAGTTTTTTTAAACTGATAATGTCACCTGGAGACACTTGAATATTTTCAGATTTTACTATTTTTCTTATCAAAATATTCTGCTTCTATCATGTCTATAAGAAACAGACTTCATTCATATTCATTAATTTCAATTTTTGTTGATTTCAACTTAATCTGTCTTGAAGTTACAGAGGCATGGGATATCAAATGATTAAATCTGTGAATTTTGATGTCAAATTACCAGTTTATGAACTTGCATAGTTAAACTGCATCCTATGCTACAAGGAACTGCTGAAAAACTAATATATGTGTAATTAAGTAAATGCCCTGACTAATAAATAAAAGTCTTTAAGCCTTTAAACTTAAATTACTAAATATGCATGTGACCTTCAGACTAATTAAGCATGTGACATCTGACTAATTGAGAAGTACTATGCACTACCGGGAATCTGTTAAAAATCTATACAAAAATGTACAATATCACAAAGATTTCAAAAATATAAATAAATGTTCACATAATCTCATGACAATATACTGAACAGACTAGACGAGATTCTATTCATCAGCTGATGATTTGTATCGTCAGATCACTGTTTCTAGCGTTGTCTCCCCTACTCTCAGGTTTATCCTGATTATTTGTCTCTCTCTCAGTCAATGGCACTAAAGTGTTTGATGTAACAGTCTGATTATTGAGCAAATCAAATGAAAAGCTACGTCTGAATGAAGATGTTGTTGATGACTGCCGTCGTAACAATGGAGGTTTCCCTAAAACTGATTCATGGCTTCTTGCAAGAATTTGTAAAGCTGTGTCATAATTAGGAGGTGGTGTCATTGGTGGCTGGTCCTCTGATGGGGGTCTTAATGAGCGATCCTTCAAAAACAAATATGCAGACAAATCTTTAAATATTACTTTAATAATTACAATATTTATGCTGATTCTTTCCATCTATAACTTAATGAAGGTATAACTACCATAAATATGATCAATATATTGTCCTGCAAACTTTCAGAATCATTTTACCAAAACGTTGTCAAAAAATTTTAATATCATTATAAAAATAAGGAGACCAAAATGACATGGATGTAAGCAACTATAGATCACCATACGGCCTTAAACAATGAGCAAAGCCAATACTGTAGTGCAAACTATAAAAGGTCCCAGAATAGTTTGCTAATGTATATGTAACAAGTACATAAAAATAAACCATTCTGTCATAAAGGTCTTCAACATATAAATACAGCAGAACTTTTAACATATAGCTGCATTGAAGACCCATTGGTGGCCTTGGGCTGTTTTCTGCTCTTTGACACATTCCCTGTTTCCATTTTCAATTCTATTACGGGATTTTTCCTTAAATTTTTGAAGACCTGTGATGTGAAGACCTGTGATGTGAAGACCCTGTGATGTGAAGACCTGTGATGTGAAGACCTGTGATGTGAAGACCTGTGATGTGAAGACCCTGTGATGTGAAGACCCTGTGATGTCAAGACCCTGTGATGTGAAGACCCTGTGATGTGAAGACCTGTGATGTGAAGACCTGTGATGTGAAGACTGTATTGTGGAAATAACAAGAAACACATAAATATAGGATGCTTTTAGAATCTTATATCAGGACAATCCAAATCTACTTTATTAATTTAACTCACTCTAAGCATCTGTGGTGTCGGTGGGTACAACCTAGTGTCTATAGCCTCATCATAGGCTGGAGGAGGCTCAAACAAAGACGATCTCTCTGGTTCCATATCATTATCTATTGAGGCTACAAATATAAATATAGCTTAACATGGTGGTGAAAAAGATAAGTAAAATAACATTCCTTTCAACATATTCTATAAAACTGAAATATTCAGCAAAGTAAATAAATGAGGCCAATGAAACAAAAATCTCAGGAAGGATACCAACATGTAACATTCTAAATAAATATCTTAAATAATGTGTCACAGACTCATTATATTTTCTTAACTTCGCCTGTGTTTCACAGATAATCATCCATGTCTATATTGTCTGTTGCACTTAATATATATATGTATAAATGTCATAAAAAATAACAGACTTACATGAGGTTTAAGACAGAATCCCTAGATATAACAGACTTGTATGAGGGTCAAGACAGAAACCCTAGATATAACAGACTTATATGAGGGTCAAGACAGAAACCCTAGATATAACAGACTTGTATGAGGGTCAAGACAGAAACCCTAGATGTAACAGACTTGTATGAGGGTCAAGACAGAAACCCTAGATATAACAGACTTGTATGAGGGTCAAGACAGAAACCCTAGATATAACAGACTTATATGCATGATATGAGGGTCAAGACAGAAACCCTAGATGTAACAGACTTGTATGAGGGTCAAGACAGAAACCCTAGATGTAACAGACTTGTATGAGGGTCAAGACAGAAACCCTAGATATAACAGATTTGTATGAGGGTCAAGACAGAAATCCTAGATATTACAGAATTATATGAGGGTCAAGACAGAAACCCTAGATATAACAGACTTGTATGAGGGTCAAGACAGAAACCCTAGAGATAACAGACTTGTATGAGGGTCAAGACAGAAACCCTAGATATAATAGACTTATATGAGGGTCAAGACAGAAACCCTAGATATAACAGACTTGTATGAGGGTCAAGACAGAAACTCTAGATATAACAGACTTATATGAGGGTCAAGACAGAAACCCTAAATATAACAGACTTGTATGAGGGTCAAGACAGAAACCCTAGATATAACAGACTTGTATGAGGGTCAAGACAGAAACCCTAGATATAACAGACTTATATGAGGGTCAAGACAGAAACCCTAGATATAACAGACTTGTATGAGGGTCAAGACAGAAACCCTAGATATAACAGACTTATATGAGGGTCAAGACAGAAACCCTAGATTTTGTAGCTGAAAAAGGAACTAACTTTAAGAAGATTTACTTTTACACAAGAATGTAGGATATTGGTTTGGCACCCACTTATATAGTTTTTACCTGGAAATTAGGTTCAGTCCATCTTTCTTTAACTTAGAATTTTTCCTCATGTTGCATATTCTCCATCATAAGTCAGTGCCCATTTCTGGATTATTAATTTGACTTCAAAATTTTAAACTAATTTGTGACAATCAATGGTACATTACATTTCTACTTACTCTGATTTCTTAACCTTGATCTAGAAGCATTTCTCTGTCTTTGTTGAAAACAGTATAACACAATAAGGAAAATCACCACAGCTATTCCCACTACGATCATAATTAGTATCGTGTTCTGATTCATCAACTGTTCCTCAGCTGAAATTACAGGAAATTTACAACAAAAATCATACTTAAGTGGTCACTTATTATTTTGAAACAGGTCAGTTTAATTTGAGTTTTTAATAGCGCTATTTAAGTAAAAGAGGGACGAAAGATACCAGAGGGACAGTCAAACTCATAGATCGAAAACAAACTGACAACGCCATGGCCAAAAATAAAAAGACAAACAGACAAATAATATACTGACCGACTTTAGAAATGCAACACTAGATTATTCTTTTTAAATTTTTGAATGAATGTGGCACCGTCAAAAGCAATGACAGCTTGTAACAAATGCCAAAATGATTGTCAGAAAGATCAACCAATTCTGTTCCACATGTTTTGGGTTCTGTTTAAACCTTCTGAATATGCGTTTGTTCCACCCATTACAATGGGTTTTGGCATTTATGCGGTTGAAACTTCAGGGCTTTAAATGTTTTTCTTCAGTCGATTCTTTGGCAGTCCAGTTTATGGGAAACGTTTATGGCATGAATCTGTGCGCAATGGCATTTGGCAATTTGATGAGCAGTTGACCTTGCGGCCGTAAACATGTCTCGCGTAATCAAATTCTATTGACGTTGCATTGTCACTACATGTTGATCTGGTCATTGATGGTCAGCAACAAATCCCTTCTACCTGTCTCGTTGTCGGCAAGACAGTAAGACGATTTTCTGAAGTCAAACTGTATGGTTGCAGCATGTTCGAGTTTTCCTGTTTGCAGTATTCTTATGGGCTGATTCAGTTTTTTATTCCTCAGTCTTGGCAATATGGAGATGCAACATTTTTAAATTGATTTAAGTGTGGCAAAGGATTGAAAGAACTGTTTCACGAAGCAAAACAAACTGAAAAAATCTTTTATGGGTTCCAAATTTCGCTTTAAGAAATTCGTGCGACTTCAAAAATCCGGTATGTTCAATAACCACAGGTAAGTCAGATGTTGATTTTTTCTTACGAGAAAGAAGTATGGTAAGCATTAATAGTAGTTGTATGAGAATCAAACATGATGTGGGAAAAATAATCAACAAAATGAGTGTTGCGTTTTTAAAGTCAGTCAGTATAGTACAGATGACACAACATAGAAAACTAAAGACTAAGCAACACGAACCCCACCAAAAACTGGGTGCACCGGAAGGGTAAGCAGATCCTGTTCCACATGTGGCACCTGTCGTGTTGCTTATGTTATTACAAAGCCGGTAAATAGTCTAATTCGGTAGGTCACATTCGTGAAAAGGGTTAGGTAATGAAATCATTACACATAAAAACATGCTGGTCAGACCTCAAAATTAGGGTCAGTCAGAAACCCTAAACACATCAAATAACATCCCTATCCCTTTTTCCAATCTATTTATCATGTTTATGTCTTAATGTCATAAAGACAATCATGATGATCTTGTTATAATTTGCAAAAAAAAGATCATCTGACCAGTGTTTTGAAATGAAAGGGTTATTGCACAAACAATGGACAATAAATTGCAGAGCAGAATGTTATAATGTTAAATTTGATTTATATCTGGAGCTATTCATGAGGTCCTTAAATCAGTATTCCTCAGTTGAGACAGCGTACTGAAATTCTCAATCTGGTTGGATCTCAAAATTAGGGTCAGTCAGGAAACTTTACACCATATCTGGTTTTTTGCCATTTCATTTATGTCTAAATTTACCTTTGTAATAACGATGCTCATGAAAATCTTATCATCATTTTGACAGAAAAAAAAACATTTGACAGTCATGTGACATGAAAGGGTAAGTGCACAAACAATGGACAATATATACAGTGTTCCAGCTTGAATCTCAGGGCAGAAGGGTGCTAGTTGTCTGAAAGGGCACTTTAGCGTAATAACCTAGATTGTAATGGCACTGTTGGACAGTGTATAAACAATTACCTTGAATATTGCTAGGCTCACCTGGAGAACATTAGTTGTATTTAAACCATATTCAGAAATTAATCTGTTCTTGATGTTGGTTCCAGTAAGAATTTTTTTTTATCAAATTATCATACCATGAAGCAAAGCATATCATTTTGATATTAATCTAAACAAACTTGTACATTTGATAAGGAAAATAATCATCAGAAATTTCAATGTTTTATAACTTATACCAGTCTATAAAAATAAACAAGTATGTTTTGAAAGATGGAGTTATATATATATAGTATAAAGTTAATCTAATGTAAATCTCTTGAACTTTACAATGAATTTCAATCTAAGAAAAACTTACGACACAGATCAATTTTTGAAATACATCTCCCATCATTACAAGTTTTCTCCCCTGAAATCTCACACGGGCTGTACTCAGGTTCTTTCGGCACAGTTATGGTGGTCATGTTTCTAAATCTAATATGTTTTCCTAACCTGAAAAAGTAACATTAATTTGAATCACGATAAACAGTTTATAAGTCAACACACCTGACAGTGTACACAGCTAAATCTAGAGATCTGACAGTGTACATAGTTAAAATCTAGAGATCTGACAGTGTACATAGTTAAAATCTAGAGATCCGACAGTTTACATGGTTAAATCTAGAGATCTGACAGTGTACACAGCTTAATCTAGAGATCTGACAGTGTACATAGTAAAATCTAGAGATCTGAGAGTGTACATAGTTAAAATCTAGAGATCCGACAGTTTACATGGTTAAATCTAGAGATCTGGCAGTGTACATAGCTTAATCTAGAGATCTGACAGTGTACAGTAAAATCTAGAGATCCGACAGTTTACATGGTTAAATCTAGAGATCTGGCAGTGTACATAGCTTAATCTAGAGATCTGACAGTGTACAGTAAAATCTAGAGATCCGACAGTTTACATGGTTAAATCTAGAGATCTGGCAGTGTACATAGCTTAATCTAGAGATCTGACAGTGTATATAGTAAAATCTAGAGATCCAACAGTGTACATGGCTATATCTAAAGATCTGACTGTGTACATAGCTTAATCTAGAGATCTGACAGTGTACATAGTAAAATCTAGAGATCCGACAGTGTACATAGCTTAATCTAGAGATCTGACAGTGTACATATCTGTGTGTTAACATCAGTTTTGAGACAAATTTTTCATTTATTTAAAAAGCTTTTTCTTTTAATTTACTTCAGCCTCCATCCCTGATCCAGAAAATTTATGAGAGGTTTGTTTTACCTAGCATTAAGGTAATTGAAATAACCAGATTGTGGTCTTTTTGATATTTTATGATAAAGTTGTGTAATTCAAGGCCATATTTTACCAAAAGTTAACCTTGTCCTTTTCAAGAATATTTCTATAACACATTTTACTTCTACGAGTTATGATAAAATCTAAACTCTTATTCTGTGTTCACTTCTTAGTTCAAATTAAAATTGGGGGCCTCGGTGGCCGAGTGGTCTAAGTAGTTCAGCTACTGTATCACTAGCCTGTCAACACTGAGGTTGTGAGTTTTTACCTTGCATGTGACAGGTGCGTTCAATTCCCATCTTACTTGACTAGGATTGTCAGTTTTCCTGAAAAAGGTCAGTGGTTTTCTCCTGCTTAATTTTTCCTTAAAAGTTTGCACTTGTGCTGTGCATGCTGTGCGGTTACCAAATTTCTAATGATAGGTCATGGTTAAGGTCACCACATAGGGAAAAGCTGTCGGTGAATTAGAATAACAGACAATAATTCAGTAGCAGTATATTTCTGAAGACTTTGATCAAGTTAAAGATGTTCTTTTAAAAGAAAGTCTATGAACATATGTTTAATAGTAAAACATAGCCATTAAAGTATATAAAACATATTCAACTTTATTGTTATGGAAATAAACACATAACATGCATAATAATAATACCTAATATGCATTCTAAATATCAATCAATAGTTGTTAAAATATATATTCTTATTAATATACACCGATCTATCATCATGATCATTGAAGCCAAACAGCTTGAGATAAATAAAAAATAATCAGTTATTTCCTTTCTGTTTTACACATGTTACATGTACATGTATTTGCCAATTACCTGAAAGAAATATACACACATGAATTAATATACACTACAAACTGCTCAGAGTCTGAAAAGACCAGTTTTTGTGCTCGACCAGTAAAGTCGAGCACAGATTTTACTCGACTAGACTCGACATTGTCTCGACAGTACTTAACTGCATACTTAACTGTACTCGACTTTGGTCTCGACTTTACTTAATAAGTCTGATTCAGTAATTGATGATCTTGGTGTAGTCTGAAATTGTCTCAACCAAGGCTCGACCTGTCTCGACCAGTCTTGACCAGTCTCGACTCAGTCTTGACCGGTCTCATCTCAGTCTTGACCTGGTCTGAATCAGCCCATCTAACTAAATTAAATATTGATCTTACAAAATTCCAGGTTATTTGATAGTTGGTTCATAGCTGGGAAATTAAATAAGTAAATTAATAGGTAAAAAAAAAAAGCAAGAATTTTCAGTTTTGATTAAATTCAGATAGTCATCTTTAATTAGGGCCCCGCCGAATGGCGGTCGCCCTATAGTGATCAGTCTGTCCGGCCGTCTGTCCATCCATACGTAACAAATTGTGTCCGCTCTATATCTAGAGAACCGTTATGATTTCAAAGTTTAAACTTGACATGTATATTAACCATCACCAGAGGGTGTGTCATAATGTATGTTCAACTTCCTGGGTCAAAGGTCAAGGTCAAAAACTTTGGTTTTAGTTGACAACCCCATGTCCTATGGTAAAGATCGTGTCCGCTCTATATCTTTAGAACCGTTATGATTTCAAAGTTTAAACTTGATATGTATATTAACCAACACCAGAGGGTGTGTCATAATGTATGTACAACTTCCTAGGTCAAAGGTCAAGGTCAAAAACTTTGGTTTTAGTTGACAAACCCATGTCCTATGGTAAAGATCATGTCCGCTCTATATCTTGAGAACCGTTATGATTTCAGTTTATACTTGATATGTATATAAACCAACACCAGAGGGTGTGTCATAATTTATGTACAACTTCCTAGGTCAAAGGTCAAGGTCAAAAACTTTGGTTTCATTTGACAACCCCATGTCCAATGATAAAGATACAAATTTTTTACCACACATTATTCACAGCACGGCCCACAGAGATGGCTCCCATCTCAATAACATCTAGTTATTTCTATAACTTTTTCAAATCAACTTGGATTTTCATAAAACTCTACATCTTTCTCAATTATACATTGATCTTACTGAATCCCAGGTCGTTATGTAGTTTGGTGTATTGCTGTCAAATTTAAGGATTTAATTAATAGGTAAAAAAAACTATAATTTTCAGTGGGACTGACATTGACTGAATTCAGCTAGTCAACTTTAAAATTGTTTATTTTTTTTTCAAATTAACTTGGATTTTCATAAAACTATACAGCTATCTCAGTTGTATATTGATCTTACTGAATCCCAGGTCATTATGTAGTTTGGTGTATTGCTGTCCAATTTAAGGATTTAATTAATCTAGGTCAATAAAGCTAGAATTTGCAGTTTCGAACTAAATTCAGATAGTCATCTTTAAATTTTTTTATAACTTTTTCAAATCAACTTTGATTTTCATCAAACTATACAGCTATCTCAATTATATTGATCTTATAGAATGCCAGGTTGTTTGGTACTTTGGTTTATTGCTGTCAAATTTACGGATTAGATTGATAGGTAAAAAAAAGCTAAAATTTTCAGTTCAGACTGAATTCAGCTAGTCAACTTAAAATTTGTTTATTACTTTTTCAAATTAACTTTGATTTTCATAAAACTATACAGCTATCTCAGTTGTATATTGATCTTACAAAATACCAGGTTATTTGTTAATTTGGTTTATTGCTGTCAAATTAAAATATTTCAGCCTTTTTTACCCTTTACCTAAGTCCTTAAATTTGACAGCAATACACCAACATACAAAACAACCTGGCATTTTCTAAGATAAATATATAATAAAGGGTAAATGGACCGAAAGTCACAGGACATTAAGTCACAAATGTGATAGGACGAAAAGTCACAGGACAAAAAATCACAAATAGTTTGTTGACAATTGTTTGAATATATAAGAGAAAGGTCTTGAAATATTTTCTTTTTACATGTATAACATATATTCATTTTTAATGAGTTTGCCCCAAGCAGGAGGTATTGCTTTATACTTCACCACTAATCAGAACAATTTTATTAATTTCTTTAATTTCTTATCCGCTTTTGATATCTTTAATTTCTTATCCGCTTTTGATATATATTATAAATATTATATCCCAAATTATAATAATAGATATATTTCTAATATAAGGTTACGGGTGGGGATCTTCTCTCAGCGCGTTGAAGACCCATTGGTGGCCTTCATGTGTTGTCTGCTCTTTGGTCAGGTTGCTGTCTCTTTGACATATTCCCCATTTCCATCTCAATTTTATTAAACAATTTCATTGATTTTGTTGTCTGCTGTTTCCTCATTAAAAAGATAATTATATAACTATTGTATGTAACCCTGAAACCTATGTATTGACCTAGATTAATTAAATCCTTAAATTGGACAGCAATACACCAAACTACATAATGACCAGGGATTCAGTAAGATCAATATACAACTGAGATAGCTGTACAGTTTTATGAAAATCCAAGTTAATTTGAAAAAATAATAAACAATTTTAAAGTTGACTAGCTGAATTCAGTCCCACTGAAAATTATAGCTTTTTTTTACCTATTAATTAAATTCTTAAATTTGACAGCAATACACCAAACTACATAACGACCAGGGATTCAGTAAGATCAATGTATAATTGAGAAAGACGTAGAGTTTGATGAAAATCCAAGTTGATTTGAAAAAGTTATAGAAATAATTAAAGTTGACTATCTGAATTTAACCAAAATGAAAAATCTCTTCTTTTTTTTTACCTATTAATTAAATCCTTTAATTTGACAGTAATACACCAAACTACATAACGACCTGGGATTCAGTAAGATCAATGTATAATTGAGATAGCTGTATAGTTTTATGAAAATCCAAGTTGATTTGAAAAAGTTATAGAAATAATTAAAGATGACTATCTGAGATTAATCAAAACTGAAAATTCTTGCTTTTTTTTTACCTATATTAATTTACTTATTTAAATTCCCAGCAATGAACCAACTACCAAATAACCTTGAATTTTGTAAGATCAATATTTGATTTAGTTAGATGGGCTGATTCAGACCAGTCGAGACTAAATTTGAAGGTTAAGACTAGTCGAGACAGGTCGAGACTGAGTTGAGACTGGTCAAGACTGAGTCGAGACAGGTCGAGACATGTCGAGTCTTGGTCAAGATCATTTCAGACTACACCAAGATCATCAATTACTGAATCAGACTTATTAAGTAAAGTCGAGTACAGTTAAGTACAGTTAAGTACTGTCGAGACAATGTTGAGTCTAGTCGAGTAAAATCTGTGCTCGACTTTACTGGTCGAGCACAAAAACTGGTCTTTTCAGACTCTGAGCAGTTTGTAGTGATACCCACATGATTTACAAATAAAACTGACGGCAAACAGACCCAGTGTGAACAGAACAAATGTACATATTATAACAATAAATATTGTTACAACATATAAAAAAGAAGATGTGGTATGATTGCCAATGAGACAACTCTCCACAAGAGACCAAAATGACACAGAAATTAACAACTATCGGTCACCGTACAGCCTTCAACAATGAGCAAAGCCCATACCGCATAGTCAGCTATAAAAGACCCTGAAATACTAACGGCTTAATTTATGTACAATAAATGAACGAAAAACAAATATGTAACACATAAACAAACAACAACCACTGAATTACAGGCTCCTGACTTGGGACAGGCACATACATAGAGAATGTGGCAGGGTTAAACATGTTAGCGGGATCCCAACCCTCCCCCTAACCTGGGACAGTGGTGTAACAGTACAACATAAGAATGAACTATAAAAATCAGTTGAAAAAGGCTTAACTCATCAGATGGAGAAAAATACAAATACTACAAATACAAGTGGACGTGGCTGGGTACATGTACATTTGTTTTTATTTAGAATTAGTTCTAATTAGTTTTGATTGTAATGTAGAATGCTGAATATGTACATGTATAATTGGCTTTTGAGACGCGACGGCCATACTTCCACGTCGTCCATAGGATGTAGCATGATTAGGGCCAACAAGTACTAGGGTCAAAATGTATTAGGGCGAAAAGGTACTAGGATTAAAATGTATAAATTATGGCGAATGGACCCATATTCATTTGAAAACTTACTTTAGTGAAGTTGGTCATACTTAACTCATAACCATTGATTCCTACAAATATTTCTATTTGGACTTTATTCAAACATGGATGATATACACAATGTATCTATCAACACTCCTCTCCTTTTTCAAAGTCATTTGAAAACAAATGAACTACGTGGGTGGACAAAATTTTGATTAAAACTGATTGACACTTACATTTATTACGTTAATACATATCAGTATTATGGTATCGTAACTTCAAAGTATTTTGTAGACTAGTTTTAGGCCATACTGACATATGTTGTTCATATAAGTTCCTTTTTGAACGCTCTCTTCAACTCTTGTTGTGTTTTTTTTTCAGTCAAAGTAAATAACCGAAGCAATTTCGGTCCATTTTCTCCGGAATCATTACTTTTGGAAATGTTATCATTATTCTATTCTAGTTGTTGAAATTAACAATAAAGATATGTTGTCTTAGCTCATTTACATATATCAAATCTGCCTTTGAATGTCACAGTTCGAAATAGCTTAGAAAAAAAATAACACTAGAACAACCGAATTTGTTTGATTTATTACAATCACAACACGATTTCCGGTTTTGAAAAATTATTTCCCCTGATCCTTCTACATAATTTTATTTCAAATACTGAAAAGGTATCGTTGTGTTATGCAGGTAATCATAAAATGTTGTTGCTGTTTTATTGACATAGACCCAAATATTTTTTGTTCAAATAAAAATATGTTTAAAAGCACTAAAGTCTAAACTGCTAAAACTTTATTTCTGCTACAGTGCTAGGTAAAGACTGAGAGTGAGACTATTATATAAGGTTCATCATAACCTTTTCTCATATTGATTGGATGTAAACACATATGACATTTTGTAGTGAAGGCTAACAGAGACAGTTGTTGAACAGTTCGTTTTAAATCACAAGAGAAATAGACTTTTTGTTGTACTGTTAGTGTTACACCACTGGCACTGTCCCAGGTTAGGGGGAGGGTTGGCACCTTTAACCTATTTTAAACCCGCCACATTCTGTATGTGCCTGTCCCAAGTCAGGAGCTTGTAATTCAGTGGTTGTCGTTTGTTGCTGTATATCGTATTTGTTTTTCGTTCATTATTTTGTACATTAATTAGGCCGTTAGTTTTCTCATTTGAATTGTTTTACATTTGTCATTTTGGGGCGTTTTATAGCTGACTATGCGGTATGGGCTTTGTTCGTTATTGAAGGCTGTATGGTGACATATAGTTTGTTAATTTCTGTGTCATTTGGTCTCTTGTGGAAAGTAATGTCTCATTGGCAATCATACCACATCTTCTTTTTATATTTTTAACTGTGAAGTTATGTGATTGGAAAAGAAAGACTTTTTAAACCAAAAGTAAACTTTTAATATTATGAGTGCTGTATATTGCGTTTTCTTATAGGTGGTGGGTAAATGTGTATAAAACTATGATGTTGTACAGATACTGTGTAGTGCGAAGACATAAACCATGTAAACTTAGGCCCACACATGCAGAAGAAGTTTTAAACATATATATATATATATATATATTTTAAATGTGTTGCTCTGATTACACAGATATCCTGTGGTGCTCCAGATAGTGGAGGGATTTGCTGTAAAGAAAGAAAATATGGCAGAATTTACACCATTTGTACACCACAAATTTTACTCTGAGTACAGACAAACCTGTGCACTTGGAAAAGTTTTAAGGCATAGCAGGAACTAGATGATTAAATTTTAAATGCATTGTATGTTTCAGAAAATTATAAACTTTTCTGGATTTTGAGATTCCTTTTTTTTCGTTTCCACAGAAGGTGCCAATATAAACTCAGTTTGGAAAAATGTTTGAGATGTTCCCCTATGTGAATAATTGTAGTGAATTGTATTGAATAGATATATGCACTACAATATATAGGTGATTTAAACTGTGTAAATGAATGAAACTCACTGTGTCAGGTGTTTAATTTATCACCTTCTGCAGGCTTAAAAAAAGGAATCTCAAGTGTTTAATTTCTGTAACATATTAAAAATGCATTCAAATTTTATTTAACTAGTTCCTGCCATTATTTACCTAGTTCCTGCCATGCCTTAAAACTTTTTCAGGGGCACAGGTTTGTCTGTACTCAAGGTGAATTTTGTGGTGTAGACCCTGCCATATTTTCTATTCCTTCTGATGAACCGTAACAAAATATTTGTATATTAGATACAATTAATATGATTAATGGACCTGTAGTGAAACAATGTAAGATTAATGAGATTAATCTGTACACATTCAGATCCATTCACATTATCAAGAGTCGCATAATTAAAAACTATCAATGATTAAAAAAAAATTTAGATATGGATAGTGATAGGCCTAACTGCAATTGACAGATAAAAAAAAATTATTTTGCTTTTTTTTTAAATTTTATTTTTTATTTTGTTTTGTTTTATTTCCCAACAGGAAGAACAGTGATTAAATGTCGTCTGCTACGGTTAAATACGAAATAAGAGTTTTGTTCTCTTAGAAAAAGTGTCACATCTTATTTTTTTATGTTACACAGATGATGGGCTAATAAGTCCTTTTCTTTTTTTTATTTCCATGATTCTTGCACTTATATTATTGTGTAGAAAAGATGAACATGTAGCTAGAATACAAGGAAATATTTTCTTGTGAAGGAATATATCAAAGTCATTATTGACTTTTCCAATTTAAAAATATGGATAATTCCAAAGAAGGGACATTTATATCTAATTCCCTGTGAAAAATTAAAAAAAAAGAGTACATTGTACTTTAATTGACTTGAAAATTTTAATAACAAGAATGACAACACTGTATGATCTGTTCATAAGCTACTATTTATTATGTTTATGGTAACACTGCATCTTTGAATTTTGTCAATCAGCCATGCTTTTCTTCTTAAGTTTTGTAAGAACCTTCTTATAGATGAAAATTCATCTGCCATGATCAAGATTTTTACAATTCTGACATATTAAAAAGTTCCAAACAAGTTAGAATTTTTGCATGTTTGCAAAGCACAATATCATGAGAAACAACGATTTTCATTGGCTTATTAACGTGATCATGGAAAACACCGACTGTGATTGGCTGATCATGATTGTCTCCCTTGGGGAAATTTCAAAATCGGGCACATTTATTTTTTTCGTGTAGAATTTCACAAAAGTGTGTTTTAGAGCTGTTCATGATCACGAAGTAATCGTGACAAGGGTCAAAACATGTAGTTCGCTCTTTAATTGTGAAAGCTGGCACGTATGCTTTTGGTATTCATTGTCATTGTTCAGAGCTCTGACATAAACAAGTCAGAATTTTCTGACTATTTGAAGTCAGAATATTTGGTGTCATGAGTTACCTCCCATCATTTTTAAACAAAAACTGACTTCTACATGTCAGTTGAGATATAATGCCAATTTATCTTCTTAACAAAGATATTCAAAATTTTTACTTAATATATCCTAAAATGCCTATCTTTTTGAGCCAAGCACCCATATTTAAAAGTTAAGCATCATGATCTATGTGACAATGTTAAAAGTGCCATCCTCGAACACTTTTTTATCAATAAAAAATATGAGTGAGACGCTTAAAAAAATAGATCTATGTGTAATTAACTGTTTTATTTAAGTATCTATTTGTGATAAATTTGGAAAAATGTTGCATATGATTAGTAGATTTACTTGAAAAACAGCATAGATTTTGATATTGTAAAGCATCATACTTTCATATTTTGTTTCATATTTTTCATATCGGGGCCTTTTATAGCCAACTATGGGTTTTTCTCATTGTTGAAGGCCGTATGGTTGCCTATAATTGCTTACATCCACTTTATTTGAACTTTGGTGGATAGTTGACTTGTCTCATTGGCAATCATACCTCATCTCCTTATTTTTATATACAAATATTCATGGTTATTTACTGAGTAGGTTGGCTACAAATCTTAAAATACTGAAAATTTTACAATCAACTGAACAGAATCTAAACTAAATAAGTCCTGCATATTTTGACTTTATTAAGTCTAAAAGTGCTATCATTCCTTTGTTAAAATGCATAATCTGACTTGCATGAGTCTTTAAAGATTCTGACTTGTTTATGTCAGTGCTCTGACTGGTAATCAGAATATATACAAATTTGCTGGAAATTGTTAGTCCAAATATTTCAGACGTCTTTAAAGGCTATTTTAAGTTTTTCCTGTGATGCCTTCTTACGAAGTCATATTGGCAAAGATAGATTCTGAGAGAGACTTTGCCATGAAATCCTTATTGATGGCTAGAAATTTTTGCATATAATTCTTATTTTTTGTGTGCTTTTTGGTGCAAAATATTTCCAGAAATATCCAAAAGTAATGATAAAATAAGTTACACTTCCATCAGAGGTATCAATGACCTACCGCTTTTTTTTAAATGGTTTCACAGACTTATTTTCTACTCTCTAGTAGTGGCAAATTGTGAGATGAATTCTCTCTCAAAGTGCAACCAGAAAAAGGGCGCTATTAAATGAGAGTCAACATCTTCCTAGGTTTATATCTTTAATTATAAGGATGACTGATACCTGAAATGTATATATACACAGTACATTAGTAAATGATTAGTTATCTCCTCCCCTGGGAACAAGTTTTTTTAGGATACGAAAAAAACTTAAACAAATAAAGTCAAGTCTATAACAAAATAAATCTTCAGGAATGTTCTGTTAAGTCTTCTGGACGCGAACAAAATTAAATGCATGATGTCCTTTCACAATTTCAAACAAAAAGTCTCTAGATTCACTTATTAATGTCTAAATATAATTCATTAATCAGTTCCTGATTCATCAATGTTATGTTCTGTTATGTAGCGGCGGCTCGGTCTTCGTGGTGTCAATAGTTCCTTTTCCCCAGCTTTATTGTGTGGCTGAAGACGGGAAAGAGCACGTGGTATCCTAGTCATAGCAGGTACATCTGGTTCAGGGGTGTGGTGGTATGACTGGTCCAAATCTTTTTGTGGAGGCTGTTGAATTGTCTGAGTTGCCGGTTTTTGAGTGGGGACTGTAATCGGTGTCTCATTCAATGCAGCTGGTTGACTTAAGATTCTTGATGGTGATAAAGACAAGGGAATCTTGGGCACTTGTGGCTCTGTCGTCTTGGATGTAGTTGGAGAGTTTAGGATTACTTCCTGATGTTGAACTGTAGTAGGTGCAATCAAAGTACCTTGTGTTTGGTTGGTTTGAAAAGGAGTGAACTTTCGAAGGTGCTGGCGGTTGCGGATAGTTACTCGGCCTGTGCCATCTACACGTATAACATACTGGTGGTATTGGCGTACTTCAACAACTGTTCCTGTGCGTTCCCATCTCCTGGGATGGTGTAGTTCTTATGGGCCAACAAATTGTTATACCACCAGCTCTTCGCAAACCAGTACTCAATGCTCTACACGCAGCCCACCAAGGAGTCAGTGCTATGCGTGCAAGGACCATGGACTCTGTGTATTGGCCTGAGATCACAGTAGATATTACCCGGGTGAGAGATCAGTGTGTTCACTGCCATCAGATGGCCAAGTCAAACCCTATGCAGCCACCATCTGACATAACACCTCCAGATTATCCGTTCCAGATGATTTGCAGTGACTACTTCACATATAACAGTAATGACTATGTAGTTATTGTTGACAGGTATTCAAACTGGCCAATGGTATACAAGTCTGAATCAGGTGCAGAGGGACTTGTCAAGAGACTTCGTGAGACTTTCGTGACATTTGGCATCCCAGAAGAGTTGACGTCCGATGGAGGTCCACAGTTCACAGCAGGGAAGACTCAAGAGTTTTTAAAGGCCTGGGGGGTTCGTCATTGAGGGCCTGGGGGGTAGAGCATTGAGTACTGGTTTGCGAAGAGCTGGTGGTATAACAATTCGTTGGCCCATAAGAACCATCCACGGTGCATAAACTGGATGCAAAGCGATGGTAAGGACGCAAGTCTGTTGGTAGCTCCTTGCAGTCTTCTGGGAACCCTACCTCCAGCTGTCTGATGAGATTTACAAATGTAGGGTCTGATGCTGTGGCCTCACGGACCATGCTCCAAGTAACAACTGTGATAACAGCATTCAAGGCACAAGTGGCAGCAGCGACTGTGGAGGTGTCATTAGCTGTATCATTATCCTCTGTATGTAGACATATACTGGTGAGTGTATCATGATAATGAGCAGTCATGTTAATGAGGGAATCAAGTTCAGGTGCTTCACCAGGTAAGTTCAGACGATCTGGTGGTCCAACATGATACCTTGACGCTGCATCTGTGCCAAGGTTCTTTCTGCCTGGTACATGAATAATTGTGAACCTGTACCCTAAAGTTTTCTCTTTGCCAAATTGAGGTTGAGGAGTCGTCTGTTGTCGATGTCTGTTAGTGATCGATCATTCAGAATCTGGAGTAGTGGCTTGTGGTCAGTTGCAACAAGAAGGTCTTTGCAACCAAGAACATAGTAGCGTGTTTGGTGAAGTGCATACACAACAGCCAAGGCCTCACCTTCGATAGGAGCATACCTGCTTTCAGCTAGATGCGTGAATCTGCTGCTAACCAGACATAATTTCCAACCATCATTACAGCAGGTAGGGGTTTTACTTGAGCACTGACAGTACTTCTGCATCAAGAAGAACCCAATTCCGTCAACAGACCAGTCGGTAGCTAGGCATGTCATACGAGCAGGGTCAAAAAGACGAACACCTTCCTTCATCTCCTGAATAATGATCTCTTTGGATTTGTGAAATACTTCATCTAATTCATTTGTCCAGCAGAATGTTGTGGATGGTTTCAATAGAGCACGAAAAGGTTTCATCTGTCTTGCCATGGCAAATGCATATGCTCCTTGGTTTTATATAAGCCCAAACCAAGCTCTTGCACCAGTAATGTCAGTTGGTGTTGGGAAGTTGCTAATTGCATCTAGGAACTTGGTACTTGGTCGTATGTTTGTTTGGGTGATTGTTAGTCCTGCAAAATTGACAGTGTCTTGAGCAAATTGGAACTTCTTTGGGTTTAATGTAATACCGTTACGAGCACACAGGTCGAGCCAATCACATGCTTGAAAAAATGCTGCTTCAATGGAGTTCGCCCACATACATGTGTCATCCATGCATTTAACCTTGTCGTTGAAATTTGATATTATAGCGTCAAATCGTTGATTGTAAGCGTCACCGCTGGCCATGAATCCCTGTGGAGCAACCATGTACCTGTAGCGCCCCCATGGTGTGATGAATGTCGTGAAATGGCGATCTTCTTCACGAATAGGCACTGAGTGGTACCCATTCCAAGCGTCTGTCACTGTTTTTTTCATGCCTTGAGGGACGCGGTCAGCCAGATGAAAGGGACTTGGGACATGATGTGTTTGCCGAACGGAATGTCGATTTTGTGGTTGTAGGTCTACTGTCCGCCTTGGAGTGCCATCAGCCTTGCTGGTTACCACCATCCTTGAGCACCAAGTTGTAGGTGTGTTTTGACTTACTTGTTCCAGTACACCAATGCGAACATCCCTCTCCAGATCAGCATAAACTTTATCCTGCCAATGGATTGGAACAAGTGCTGGTTTGTGGACGGCTACCGGTGTGGCATTAGGATCAACATGGAGTTGGAGAGGCTCACAATTCATAAGCGGTAAAGGTTGATGTTCACAGACATTAAATGTTGTAGCACCATAGTAATCAAGAAGCCACCCTTTTAGTGACTCCACGTGTTCCTCTGTGGCCTTCAAACCTGGAGGTAGAGTTGTGGGAACAGGTGGTGGTGAAGGTCGACGTCTAGGACATGAGCAGGTTACTTCTTCAGAGTTTTCCATAGATGCAGCAATGTTTGGAGATGTAACTGTTGACACATTAGGAAAGTTAGTGTGAATAATCCCCATAGATATGAGTGCTTCTCTGCAAATGAAAGCTCTTTCCATGGTATCAGAGACATAACACAATAAACGTGTTGACATGGCATTGCTAGTACTGTCTTTTGTTGTAACGCTTACTGCGACTGCTCCAATTACACCAAGGTCTTCCTTTATAGCTCCACGCATTACAAGCTTGACTGGAAGAAGATCCTTTTCTGTTATTCCAAGGTTGTTTGCAGATTGTAAAGGTATGATTGAACTTTGGCACCCTGTATCAGCCACCATGGACATAGTGATTGTCTTAAGCTTAGAGGTGTCTTGCATGGGATGCCCAAACGATGCATGGTCCTCAGGCAGGGGTGTCATGTTCACCAGAAGCATTGGGTGGGGTTTTGAAGGTCGAGCCACCCAATGTCCATCAAATATGTGATGTTCAAGACGTTATGCTTGGTTTGTCTGTTCAGATGTGGTGCACAGCTGCTCATAGATATAACCAACTTGTTCCTGGTCTGAATCTTTGGTTGATTTCCCTTGATTGGGCTGGTTCCTGTGGCCCTTACCTTGAGCGCAGATTCTAGAAGATGCATCATGGTGGCCCCATACTCCACAGGTAGTGCACTTGCTGCATGATTTGGTGTAATGACCTTTAACTGTGCATTTAGCACATGTGAATGTCCAAGCCTAACAGTACCTAGACCTGGCCTTGCGATCATTCCTTTGTCCATGAGCAGGACCACCACATGCCCAACATTTGGCTCCAGCTGCTTGGGGTCGTTTCTGATTATTACATGTAGCACTCATGGCACTAGCTAAATCTCCCACTGCACTCCTTGTGACTTTACCCTGCTCTTTCTGAGCAATAAATGATACAGTCTCTTCTAGTGTTCTATCGGTCTTGGAGTCACCTAGCAGGTCAGACATAATTTCTGGGTCTGCAATACCTCTGACTAAATTGTCCTTGATTATCTCATCACTATAATCAAATATATGGTTGCAACCTATTTCATTGCACGTGGCTTTATACTGGCAGAGTGATGCTTGGCCTCTGAGACTGGCCAAAAAAGTCCTGATATTTGACCCAGGTGATTGAGTCATTCTGTTCAATTTAATGCGTTGGACCAGTGTGCTTTCTTCTTTGACGGCCAGCCTTTTGATAGCATTTAAAAGATCTGTCTCTATCATACTGGTGACATCGCCTCGAAGGTCACGCATAATGTCTGTACGGAGATTGGTGTCACAGCAGTAGAAAAGGGCAGTGGGCAAGACATTGTCTGTGATCGCCATCCCTGTTTTATACATTTTCCACTGTCTGGTGAATGCCGACCATTGATCTGGATCACATCCTGCAGCTATAGTAGGTGGGTCCAATTTTAACTTGTGTGTTGCTGGTTGAGCCAGAGGTGGGTGGACGGTTCTGTCATGAATCTGTAGAGCAGTGGTTAGAGCAGCTGCAAATGCTTCATCCAGGTCCTGAGATTTCCAATCACATCCGTCTATAGGGCACTGTAAAACTGGCATAATGATAATTCACTTTGTTTCAGCTGTTAGTTGAGTATCAGTCATAAATGAGAGTCAACATCTTCCTAGGTTTATATCTTTAATTATAAGGATGACTGATACCTGAAATGTATATATACACAGTACATTAGTAAATGATTAGTTAGCTATGATGTTGTAGGAAGGCATCACAAGGGCTCTATGAGGTTGAAGGAAGGCATTACAGTAAATAATTAAAAATACCCTTTCCAGATAATATAATTCATAATTATTTGGACTTGGAAATTGTATGCTCCTTTTGGATTCTTGGAGTATTCCGTTTCAAATTTGAGGAAGTGTGTGCTGCTTTATGATGTTATAAAAAAATTCCAGAAAAAAAAACGAACTGGAATTGAGGTGAAAGCTATTTTCATGATAGTGCTACCACTGTAGACTAAAATCAACCCTTATCTACCATTTATATGGATATTGATGTCACCAACACACTTTTGAAAAACAATACCATGCTAATGAAAGTGCAGTTATTTTTCGTCTCTAAAACTAATATCCAATTATTAGAACAAAAATAAGAGTCAGCAGGACTTTTCTGGTATGGTCACGTTTGGCTTAAACAAAAACTATTTTATTTTGACCTATGAACATGATGATATTACAGATCAAGTATGAGTTTTGTTCCAGTTGAGTGATTTTCACAGAAGTTGAGGCCCTATTACGTGGAAAATAGTTTGATAATATTAGTTTGCTGACAAGAGTACTTTGAATCCTCAGGAGCTTGGGTTGGGCTGGCAGTTGTTGAAAATTTTCACAAGTTTTTTTAATCTTTTTATCTGATTAATGATGAGATAGAAATATTAACTATATCAGTTACAAATCATTTCCATATATAATTGAAAATTCACCAGGGCTCCTTATCAAATGCTTGTCCCCCAAAAAGTCCCATATACATGTAAGTGTTAAAACATCCAATGTTCCTGCACTTAAACATAGCCTTGTAAAGTGGCAATGTATTGTATATGCAATGTCCTAATAATATGTTTTTTTTAACAGATATGACTGAAGTACCAAAGGCATTAGAATTAATGTCTGATTTGAGAAGTAAGACACAAGATGTCATTAACCATACAGACAATATTTTAAAGAAGGCCAAGGGAGGACAGTATGATACATCAAAGGTAAATGTAGCTAAACATAATATTTCATTAATCATACAGACAATATCTTAATGAAGACTCTGATGTCACAGCTTAACTCCCCTTGAATTACACAAATATTAACTTCTCTGTCCATGGTCATGATGATCAAATAATTTTGTAAATCTGGTGTATTTTTATGCCCCCGCCGTAGCGGAGGGGGCATTAAGTTTTACCCTTGTCCGTCTGTACGTCCGTCCGTACGTCCCAAAATTGGTATCCGTTCTCTAACTTAAGTTTGCCTCAACCTAACGTTATGAAACTTATACACAATGCTTATTAACATGAAACACAGATCAAGGTTGAATTTTGGTGGCGTCACTTTTACCGTTCTTTTTAAACTATGAAAGAATGGTTTATGCAATCAAGAAAATAAAAGTTAATGTTCATTTTTTTTTTATATTTACAAATTTTATAAAGATAAGTTAGCCAAATAGATGTTCATTTATTCTGTTTTAGGGAATCAGTTTTCTTGAAACTAAGTACCAGCTGTTGCTAAGTTATTTAATTAACTCAACATACCTATTCCATAAGAAGACCAGCAGCCAGTCGATCAGTGATGATCCTTCTATAGAACGACTTGTAGAGATTCGTACTGTAAGTTAAATCAATGTAGCTACTGGACATTAAGTAAGGGACAGTCGATCAGTGGTGATCCTTCTATAGAATGACTTGTAGAGATTCGTACCGTAAGTTAAATCACTGTAGCCACTGGACATTTTAGATCTAAATTCACCATTTTATTTTGTGTATATTACTTTTGAATATCAAGGTTTTAACTTTTAAAATAACAATCATACTTATGAAGTTTATGATGACTTTCGTACAGAATGCTGATACATTTTTTCAAAGCTTGAATTAGTTTGTTTATTCTTGACTGTTTAAGGTATTGGAGAAGATGAGACCTATAGATCAGAAACTCAAGTATCAGATAGATAAAGTGATTAAAACAGCTACTACTGGAGGAACAGGTAAGTAAACCTATAGATCAGAAACTCAAGTATCAGATAGATAAAGTAATTAAAACAAGCTACTACTGGAGGAACAGGTAAGTAAACCTATAGATCAGAAACTCAAGTATCAGATAGATAAAGTGATTAAAACAGCTACCACTGGAGGAACGGGTAAGTAAACCTATAGATCAGAAACTGAAGTATCAGATAGATAAAGTGATTAAAACAGCTACTCCTGGAGGAACAGGTAAGTAAACCTATAGATCAGAAACTCAAGTATCAGATAGATAAAGTGATTAAAACAGCTACTCCTGGAGGAACAGGTAAGTAAACCTATAGATCAGAAACTCAAGTATCAGATAGATAAAGTGATTAAAACAGCTACTCCTGGAGGAACAGGTAAGTAAACCTATAGATCAGAAACTCAAGTATCAGGTAGATAAAGTGATTAAAACAGCTACTCCTGGAGGAACGGGTAAGTAAACCTATAGATCAGAAACTCAAGTATTAGATAGATAAAGTGATTAAAACAGCTACCACTGGAGGAACAGGTTTGTAATAACTTACCACTGGAGTGATAATTTTGAAATTTTGTTTTTGTATGGAAATTTATCAAATATTTATATTCTGCTGTTAGGTACTTCCCAAAATGATTCACACATACAGACTGACCATGTCCATACAAGACATTTTCTTTTTTTCTTCTCTGTACTGTATCTTATAGATCTACATAGCTCAGCATATATCTTTGGTTATTTGCAAAGGCTGATTCAGGATGTACATTGTTGTACATTGTGCCATTAATGATGAACTTAAATCAATTATTGTTTTATTTTCAGATGAAGCAGATCCACTAAGATTTAAAGCCAATCCTAATAATTTCACTAACAAGGTAATCTTTATTCTGATATGATATTTTTAAAACACTTTTTTCCTTTTTTTGTTGTCAAAACCACATCTGATATGTAATAAAAATAAGGAGATGTGGTATGATTGCCAATGAGACAACTATCCACCAGAGTTCATAAGAAATGGATGTAAGCAATTATAGGTCACTGTACATGCTGTATGGCCTTTGACAATGAGAAAAAACCCATACCTTTTTGAAAGCTCATTGGAATTATTGTCTTTGGAATGCATTAAAATATGGAAATCGGGACTGTATTTGAAGAGTTGGTACTGTCAATTGGTTATTTGACTGTGGCAGCTTTCTTCAAATACAGGACTGATATTTCCAAATTATTACTCTGTATGTACATGTATAATGTAAACTGATGATTCCTATCTCAGTGAAGATATGATACATTTGGTTAAATATTGTCTATAGTTGTCTGGATAACTGGTTACAAATTTTACATTATTAATCACATTATTTAGCAGATTATTAAAAATTATGTAGCAAAATAACACCCAACATTTACTGCTTCAAAAACTGAAGGACTGTTAGTTATTTTAACATGTTTTATGTTTTACTCCAAAAAAAATATTTAAAGAAATGTAATTTGGTTTAATAAATAAGAAAAAAAGATAAGTCGAGTAAACATAAGTTGGACAGTAACCCAACAACACAAGTTTGCTAAACTAGTTGTGCATCATCAGTTTTTCATTTAATTTTAAAGATTTCTATTCACTCACATTATTTAATTGTACTCTAGCTATTTTACATAAGAATGTATTTGGTTTGGACATTTCTTTATATATATATTTATGGTAGGATATGAACATTTAGAAAGTAAGATTATTTAAGTAAACAAATCTACTTTGCATCTATAAAGTGACATACAGAAGTTTAGAGTGATAACATTGATTTAATTTACATATTCACAAAATGTGTCATGTTTGGTTTCGTTTATGATACACATAAGTTAAATGAGACCCGCTATTCCATGGTTGCTATGGACTTCTCATACTATCAGATGGTTGCTATGGATTTCTTACACTATTACATGGTTGATATAGACATCCCACACTATCAATGGTTGCTAAGGATTTCTCACACTATCACATGGTGGATAGTAACAGATATTTTAGTGATTTTGTATAATTACTTTGTATGATGTGTTTGATATTTTAAAATGTCAACAAGCTGTATTGGACAAATAATTAATGGCCTAAAATTTGTAAATAAAAATAGCTTTATTCCACATTGGCTATGATGATAAATAATTATTTTGTAGTTAGATGATGAAGATGAAGATGAATCAGGAACAGATGAGGACAATGATACAAAGTCTACCAAAAAATCAAAAGTTTACGTTCCACCAAAACTTACACCAGTACATTATGGTAGGTCTATAAACAAATTAAGTACCCTTTTTAGCTCACATGGTCCAAAGGGCTTTTTCTCATCACTTGGCTTCCTTTGTCTATAGTCTTAGCTCACATGGTCCAAAGGGCTTTTTCTCATCACTTGGCTTCCATTGTCTATAGTCTGTTGTCATCTATTAATGTTTACAAAAATCTTCTCTAAAACGAAACTAAACAACAATTATCCTTGGGGTATGTAGTTTAAAAAATGTGTCCAATGATCTTGTCTGTGAACCAACATGGTTGCCAAGACTAAAAATAGAACATGATGGTAACACAAGAGTATTGTCATTATCTTTTAAATTGTTATAGAAAATGAACATTTGACAAGTCAGAAATGTTCAGAATGTCAAGATCTTTTTACACATTGCTTTGTCCAAGACTTTCTGACACATTTTTTTAGAGGTATTTTACTAAAATGAAGATTTTTAACCAATTTTCATTATTTGGCAAGTGTAACTGTATATGGGAAAAAGGATCAACAGGACAAGATCTACAAAAAAGACATCATTGTAGAAATTTTTAGTCAACTTCTTGCAGAGTTATTGTCCTCATAAAACAAGTTTTAACCATTTTTAGCTCACCTGTTCTAAGTCCATGTGTACTTTTGCCATCACATGGCATCTGCTGTTTTACTAATTTTCATAATTTTGGTAATTATTTCAAAAACTTTAGTAGATAGGTATCAAATGTAAATATGATCATCAATACCAGATCTACAAAAAATCCAAAAAAAAGGATTTACAATAAACAAACATAACTGATTGCAATAAAGGTAAACATAGATATCAGAATGGAATAGTTTTACTTGGTGAGAAATTCAGCTCTTTTTTTTGTGGGAACTTTATTTGATAGACTTAAACTGTAAACAGCAAATAAGATATCAAGACCAGGGCTGATATGCATAAAACTACTTCAGTTAAGATTTGTTCCGAACGGACGGATTTTTCATCATGTTCTACGATAAATTAGTACTACGATTGGATATCTTAACTTAAGTGGTTTTATGCATATCAGCCCAGATCTACAAATCAGCCAAACTAGCTGGAATGGTTTTTAACCCTTTTTTGTGTTTTTTTTAATCTTTGTGTTTATTTATTGTAACAGACTTGGATGAAACAGTAAAAGATAAAGAAACTAAGGCAATGGAGAGAGCCAAAAAGAGAGCTTTAAGTAGTAGTATACTGAAAGAACTGAGAGATGAATATTATGAAGGACCAGAAGAAGTCAAGGTTAGAATGATTTACTTGTGTTTTGAAGGACTTTCTCTTTGATGTTTACTCTATATATCTGTTATTACTGTGGATTCATTTATTTTCATGGGTACAAATTTTCGTGGATTAAGGAAAACATGTTCGTGGATATTTAATTTCGTGGTTTTTGACACTGTCTGCATACAAGCCTATAGTAAATTTGCCATTCGTTGAACATCTGAATTAGTGATTTGCCTGTACCAACGAAACCCACGAAAATTGGTACCCCATGAATAATAATGAATCCACAGTAATAAAAAAAAAATGGAGATCCAATAAAAACTAAAAGAAATCCTAGACCTTTCAATATATGTATTTGATTGTAAGTGTCACTGTGTGTCTCTATAGTATGCTGAAACTATGTTAAACAGTTTTATCAATTAACTTTAACTAGCTTTTTAAATATTTTACAACTAAATTGATGACCATCTAGTTTTTAAAGATTTAAAGGAAAGCAGATGCTCCTTTTAGCAAGCTAAAATCTATCATTGTCATAGAAAAATATGGACCTCCATGCTATTTTGAATGCTTTTCATGTATTTACAATTTTACTTTTATTAATTTTTTTTTTGGCTTTACATGTCATTTTTAGCTCACCAAGGCTTTTCTCATCACTTGGGGTCCGTCGTCTGTCGTCGTCGTCGTCCGTCGTCGTTAGCTTTTTACAAAAATCTTCTCCTCTGAAACCACTGGGCCAAAATTAACCAAACTTGGCCACAATCATCATTAGGGTATCTAGTTTAAAAAATGTGTCGGATGACCCTGCCAACCAACCAAGATTGCCGCCGTGGCTAAAAATAAAACATAGGGGTAAAATGTAGATTTTGGCTTATATCTCTGAAACCAAAGCATTTAGAGTAAATCTGACATGGGTAAAACTGATTATCAGGTCAAGATCTATCTGCCCTGAAATTTTCAGACAAATCTGACAATCTGTTGTTGGGTTGCTGCCCCTGAATTGGTAATTTTAAGGAAATTTTGCCGTTTTTATACGACCGCAAACAAATTTTTGTGGTCGTATATTGGTATGACATTGGCGTCGTCGTCGTCGTCGTCCGGCGTCGTCCGAAGACACATTGGTTTTCGCACTCTAACTTTAGTTTAAGTGAATGGATCTCTATAAAATTTTACCACAAGTTTCAATACCACAAAAGGAAGGTTGGGATTGATTTTGGGGATTATGGTACCAACAGTAAAGGACTTAGGGGCCAAAAAGGGGCCAAAAATATGCATTTTTGTAACTTCCAGACATAACTTGTGTGTTAGTGTATGGATCTCTCTGACATTGTACCACAAGGTTCCATATCACAAAAGGAATGCTGGGATTGATTTTGGGGGTAATTGCCTCAAAATTTTAGGAATTAGGGGCCAAAAAAGGGGCAAAAAACAAGCATTTTTGTAGTTTCCAGACAATAACTTGTGTTCAAGTGTATGGATCTCTCTGAAAGTGTACTGCAAGGTACCATACCACAAAGGGAAGGCTGGGATTGATGATGGGGGTAATTGCCTCAATATTTTAGGAATTAGGGGCCAAAAAGGGGCAAAAAACAAGCATTTTTCTAGTTTCAGGACAATAACTTGTGTGTAAGTGTATGGATCTTTCTGAAATTGTACTACAAGGTTCCATATCACAAAGGGAAATCTGGGTTTGAGTTTGGGGGTAATTGCCTTAAAGGTTTAGGAATTTGGGGCCAAAAAGGGGCCAAAAAACACATTTTTCTAGTTTCCAGACAATAACTTGTGTTCAAGTGTATGGATCTCTCTGAAATTGTACTGCAAGGTACCATACCACAAAGGGAAGGCTGGGATTGAGTTTGGGGGTGATGAATCATAAGGGGGTTCAAATAATTGGGGGGGGGGGGGGGGTTGTTTCCTTTTTTTTTTTCTTTTAAAATTTTCCATTTTAAGTTGGTTATTTCTGATTTATATTTAAAAGCAAATAATAATGATATGGTAGGAGATACACACCAAACAGGATGTGTAAATTATTATATAATAAGTATTGTGCAATAGCAAGAAATTTTCAATTGCACAGTATTGCACAATAGCAAGAAATCTTCAATTGCACAATATTGCGCAATAGCAAGAAATCTTCAATTGCACAGTATTGCACAATAGCAAGAAATATCCAATAGCACAATATTGCACAATAGCAAGAAATCTTCAATTGCACAGTATTGCACAATAGCAAGAAATATCCAATAGCACAATATTGCACAATAGCAAGAAATTGTCAATTGTACAGTATTGCGCAATAGCAAGAAATATTTAATTGCACAGTATTGTGCAAAAGAAGATACTTCGTATAAATTGCTTATTTCTTGACCAATTTCAATGGGGTTTTATTCTTGAATTCTTGGGGTTCTTTAATATGCTGAATCTAACCGTGTATTTAGTTTTTTGGATTTTGGGCCCCATTTTTAAATTGGTCCACATTGAGGTCCAAAGGGTCCAAAATTAAACTTTGTTTGATTTCATCAAAAATTGAATTATTGGGGTTCTTTGATATGCCGAATCTAACCGTGTATTTAGATTCTTAATTTTTTGTTCTGTTTTCAAATTGGTCTACATTAAGGTCCAAAGGGTCCAAAATTAAACTTAGTTTGATTTTAACAAAAATTGAATTCTTAGGGTTCTTTGATATGCTGAATCTAAACATGTATTTAGATTTTTGATTATGGGCCCATTTTTCAAGTTGGTCCAAATCGGGGTCCAAAATTAAACTTTGTTTGATTTCAACAAAAATTGAATATATGGGGTTCTTTGATACGCTGAATCTAACCATGTATTAAGATTTTTGATTTTTGGGCCCCGTTATCAACTTTGTCCACATTGAGGTCAAAAGGGTCCAAAATTAAACTTTGTTTGATTTCATCAAAAATTGAATTCTTGGGGTTCTTTGATATGCTGAATCTAACCATGTATTTAGATTTTGGATATTGGACCATAATAGGTGAATGTCCAATTTAAAATTTTTAAGTTCTTAGACCACATTCATTCTGTGTCAGAAACCTATGCTGTGTCAAATATTTAATCACAATCCAAATGCAAAGCTGTATCAAGCTTGAATGTTGTGTCCATACTTGCCCCAACTGTTCAGGGTTCGACCTCTGCGGTCGTATCAAGCTGCGCCCTGCGGAGCATTTTATTGGTTATAATCTTGAATATTATTATAGATAGAGATAAACTGTAAACAGCAATAATGTTCAGCAAAGTAAGATCTACAAATAAGTTGTCATGACCAAAATTGTCAGTCGACCCCTTTATGAGTTATTGCCCTTAATAGTCAATTTTTTAACAATTTTTTGTAAATTTTTGTAATATTTTACAAAAATCTTCTTCTCTGAAACTACTGAGACAAATTTAACCATACTTGGCTATAATTATTATTAGGGTATGTAGTTTAAAAAATTTGTCCGATGACCCCTCCGTCCAACCATCATGGCTGACTTGGTTAAAAATAGAACATAGGGATAAAATTAAGTTTTTGCTCTACATCTCTGAAACTAAAGTATTTAGAGCAAATCTGACAGGTGGCAAAAATGTTCATCAGATTTTTATTTATTTGCCCTGAAATTTTCGGACGAATCCGACAACCCGTTGTTGGGTTGCTGCCCCTGAGTTAGTAATTTTACAAAAATTTTGCAGTTTTTTGTTATTATCTTAGATATCATTATAATATCTAATATCCAATACTATTAATTATGATTTTAACCTTATTTTACATGATTTCCAAAGCATCAGTAAATACAGGTGAGCGACACAGGCTCTTGAGAGCCTCTAGTTATGCTATTAAGGTTTACCCTTGTCCGTTCGTACGTAGGTCCCGAAATTGGTTAAAGTTCTCTAACTTTAGTTTGCCTCAACCAAATGTTATGAAACTTATACACAATGCTTATTACAACAAAACTAAGATCAAGTTCAAATTTGGGTGGCGTCACTTTTATGGTTCTGGAGTTATGCCCCTTTATAATGTTACATATGCAAGCCGGTGCATCATCAGTGTCCCATGGACACAATTCTCCATTTATTTCTCTTTTGTTTAGAATGGCTCCATTATGAAATTTTAGTATGATAAAAAAAAAGTGAAGCAGCAAAGCAATAGCACAATAAACAGAAATAAAACACCTAAGAGCCTAGAATCTACACATCTGAATGACATAAATACCAAATATTGGCCTACTTTGAAAGGATAGAAAATGTCAAGATATAAAAAAGGAAGATCACTGATGAGGGTCCTGACTTGGAGGTATTAACATGTGGCTAATGCAACTTAGTTTCTAACCTTTTACCTCAAATGGTCTCTGGACAATAGTTGTCTCTTGGGCAATCACACCACATCGTCTTATTTTCATATATACATTGTGTGGTATGTAAGAGTGACCTATTTCTTTCATTATCGTTAATGTTAAACCCTGTATTAACACACTTTCTAATGTTGTTTATATTTATAGGAAAGTATTGACTTACACAGATTTAAAGCCAACAAGAAAGCTAAAGAAAGAACAGAGTATGTATTTAATTGAATTGGAAATCAGTATATATGCTAATCCCTTTTATTTCAAAAAATATTTATACCAGAAGAATATGTGTTTCAAGAAAACTCAAAGGAAATGTTGATTTTTTTAATTTCATTCAATAAAGATAAGATGACATTATAACTTCAAAATCAAGAATTTGAATTTAAAATGATGTGATTAGGAAAATATTATTATTATTTTGTCAAGAATATAGTCAAAAACATATCGTTTAATTTCTGTTTTTGCATAAAAAATGTTTCCAAACATGAATGCATTGTTTGCACAGTAAAACCAATGGTCCATGCAAATTTTGATTATTTTTGTATTTTGAGAGACAATATTTTATGCTTTTAACATTGATTTCAGGTACGAAGAAGAGAGAATGATGAGAATGTCTATATCAAAGAAAGATAAGGCAAGATTATCTTACATATAAACTAATTGTGTTATTATGAAAGTTATTTTTAAAAAACAAATCTTGATATAGTGTATGGTTTGTACAACTTTGTAGTATAAATAAAGGCCATCATAAAACATAGGGAAAAAAAAAATTACTGCATAATTACACGCAATCATAACACGCAATCATTACATGCACCTTTATTTGTTTTATGTCTGATAGAAAGAAATCAGTATACCCAATAGTGCTGAAAGTGGTGAACGGGAAGCTTAATACAAACATTTATGATAAAAGAGATGATTTTTCATTTCCTATCGTTAATTATCCATTTTTAGATGGTGACGTTCCCTTGTCACCATCTTATGGTGTTTATATATCTCAAGTTGTACGATTCGCTCGTGTATGTAACAACGTATTAGATTATAGCGAGAGAAATTTATGTATTACTGAAAAATTATTACACCACGGTTTTCGATATCATAAACTAGTCAAAACATTTACTAAATTTTATCATCAGTATAAGGACATCATTTGTAAATATAACTCAACATGCAGACATCTTATACGTTCGGGTATTTCACATCCAATCTTTTATGGTAATATTCTTTACAAAGCACAAAAATGTCAGTATTCACCTCAAAAGCTAACAAAACCTTTAAACAGACTTATTAAGAAGGGATATAGTTACGATACTGTTGTCAGGTCATTAAAGATTGCATATTTTGGCTTTAATATTGATTCACTTATAGGGTCTTTGCATCGGAATTAAACATATTTATTCTAAAACCAGTTGTTGGCATGACACGGGTTATGTTCTTCTCACATATTTAATGATGGTATAATACTAAACCCCTAACAGGAGGGATTGTGCCTGATATTCATATGATGAAGACATAATCTTTTAATCAGTATAATTGAGGTCTGAAGCTGGCATGTCAGTAACTGCTAGTAGTCTGTTGTTATTTATGTATTATTGTCATTTTGTTTATTTTCTTTTGTTTCCTATTCTGACATCGGACTCGGACTTCTCTTAAACTGAGTTTTACTGTGCGTACTGTTGTACATTTGTTTTTTCTACATTGGCTAGAGGTATAGGGGGAGGGTTGAGATCTCAAAAAACATGTTTAACCCTGCCGCATTTTTGCACCTGTCCCAAGTCAGGAGCCTCTGGCCTTTGTTAGTCTTGTATCATTTTTAATTTTAGTTTCTTGTGTATAATTTGGAGTTTAGTATGACGTCCATTATCACTGAACTAGTATACATATTTGTTAAGGGGCCAGCTGAAAGACGCCTCCGGGTGCGGGAGTTTCTCGCTGCATTGAAGACCCATTGGTGGCCTTCGGCTGTTGTCTGCTCTATGGTCGGGTTGTTGTCTCTTTGACACATTCCCCATTTCCATTCTCAATTTTATTCAACACCAAAAATCAATCAAGTTTCATTGTTCAGTGAAAAGGAATAAACGGTATGAAAAATATTGGTCATTACAACAGACCACACTAACCACCAATACATTGATGTACAAACAAACAAACAAACAAACAAACAAACAAACAAACAAACAAACAAACAAACAAACAAACAAACAACAACAACAACAACAACAAAAAACCAACAAAAAACCAACAAATGATCCAAATAGCCTGACTTGGTACAGCTTATTTATAAAATGTTTCTTTTTATGAATTCTTTAATATGTAATTATTTATAGAATGTAATGCAGTTTCTAATTATATATTACTAATAATTGTTTCTATTTATAGAATGCTATGAGAAAATTAGGAACTTTATCATCTTTAAATAACCTGACCCAGTTTGATGATATCAGTATTTTAGATGAGGAAAGACAAGGAGAATTTGTATGTATTCAGTGTACTGTAGATATATTGTATGTTTTTCTGTTTATTTGTACACCTCACATTGTCTATACCTAATTAGGACCATGTCAAAATAAGTGCTTAAGATAAACCATTGTTATATGATATGAACCTGCATACCACATCTTCTTTTTTTAGCTCACCTGGCCCGAAGGGCCAAGTGAGCTTTTCTCATCACTTGGCATCCGTCGTCCGTCGTCCGGCGTCGTCCGGCGTCGTCCGGCGTCGGCGTTAACTTTTTACATTTTGAACTTCTTCTAGAGAACCACTGAATGGAATGAAACCAAACATGGCATGAATGTTCCTTATGAGGTGCTCGGGCCGCAATTAAAAATATATTTGTTTCCCCTTACCCTACCCACCATTTTGGAAGTGGGTAGGTAGGTAGGCTTTTTTTTTTTTTTTTTTTTTAGAGAAAATCCCTGAAATATATCTAACACACAGGAAAACACAGAAAAACAACAAATTGAACTTTATTGATACTAAAACAACATACTGTATAACGTAATATGCATGACTAGAAGACCTTACAATTTCAGACTAGAAAATGTTTGTAAATATCGATGTCTTTGTGACTTAGAGTAGACCACATATAAATTGAGACACGGATCTATATTTTTCTTATAGTTTTATTGATTCAATTGAAAATATAAAACCTCAACGAGACTGCTACCTAGTAACATTCGATGCAAAAAATATGTACACTTGTTTTTCATTTAAGGAAATACTAGAAGCCACAAACCGTGATCCAAGCGAGTATGACTATGCCTATTAAGGCTTATTCTAGAAAACTATGAATTTATTTTTAACAATAAACTTTACCATGAAACCTTGGGCGTGTCTATGTGCGGATCAGTATTCGCTGGGTTAGCAGACCTTACAATGTTTGTTAATTCTTGAACACATTTTACAACGCTTTCAACACAGAGAAACAAAATGATAATGATAGTTGAAGTTCACCTACGATTTTTCCTGTAATGAAACAATATTCTTAGACACTGTCTTAATTATACAAAGGAGAAAGATTCTTTAATGAAGGCATAGTATGATACAAGACATTAAAACCAATATCAAACCAACTGAAACATATCAATATCTGCACAGACACTGCTCACACCCAAAAAGTGTTTTCATTGAAAGGATTTATCAAGGGTGAAGTATTGAGGTATCTCAGAAACACAAGCAGCAAAACTGATCTTAAAAAACAGTAAGAAGCTCAAACGAGGATATCAAATACCTGAAATCAACGATTTTTTTTATCAAACACAAAATACAGAAAGGGAAAACTTGCTAACACATCGCCCAGCGAAATGGGAACAACCGCTAGTAATGTTAACAAAATTCAACCCATCTATACAGAAACTAAAAATATAATAATGAAACACTGGCATCTTATTTCACAAAACCCTGAATGTGTGACCATATTTAATCATCAGCCCATTATAGCTTATAAAAGACATAAGAACTTACAAGAACTTTTATCAAAGCATTAGCTGGTATAGTCATCTCAACTTTTCACAACACAATATGATACTGAGCTCGAAAAAAATTGACTACTATTTTATCCAAAGACAACTAGTGTATGGTCCAATATCACATACGAAATGAAACAAAATAGCATAAATAGCACGCCAATATACAACTTATTGAGTCAACCACTGATAAAGGCGAACTCAGGGATTTACCACAAACACAGCACACTGATGTTTCACCAAGCCTAACATTTAAGCTCAAGGGTGAGCTCGGATGCGCAATCGTAACTACTCGGCCATTCTCGCTACGCATTTTGTTATTGGAGGTGTAGCTAGAATGGAAGAGTAGTTAAGATTGCTCGGACGCATTTATTTAAAACAATATTCCATTCCAATTTCAGTATCCTTGCATACGTTGTTTACCCTTTGCTGCAAACACACGGGCGACAATGATTTCGCGGAATGTTGAAAATACGGACCATTCAAGGAAACGAAATTAAAAAAACGAACTTTTGAGCGAAACGAAAAAAAAAAACAACAACGTGATTTTCGAAAAAAATTATTTCAGTCGGCGGATTTTTAGAGGGTCGGTCGGGTAAGGGGAAACAAACTTAATTTTAATTTTGGCCTCACCAAGTGTTGTTACTTTGTAGCCGATCCATCATCCAAGATGGCCGCCAGCGGGGGACTTAGTTTAACATAGGACCCTATGGGAAATGCATACAAATGACTTCTTTTAGAGAACCACTGAATGGAATGAAACCAAACATGGCATGAATGTTCCTTATGAGGTGCTCACCAAGTGTTGTTACTTTGTAGCCGATCCATCATCCAAGATGGCTGCCAGCGGTGGACTTAGTTTAACATAGGACCCTATGGGAAATGCATACAAATGACTTCTTTTAGAGAACCACTGAATGGAATGAAACCAAACATGGCATGAATGTTCCTTATGAGGTGCTGACCATGCGTTGTTACTTTGTAGCCGATCCATCATCCAAGATGGCCGCCATCGGGGAACTTAGTTTAACATAGGACCCTAAGGGAAATACATACAAATGTCTTCTTTTAGAGAACCACTGAATGGAATGAAACCAAACATGGCATGAATGTTCCTTATGAGGTGCTGACCAAGTGTTGTTACTTTGTAGCCGATCCATCATCCAAGATGGCCGCCAGCGGGGGACTTAGTTTAACATAGGACCCTATGGGAAATACCTAAAAATGTCTTCTTTTAGAGAACCACTGAATGGAATGGAACCAAACATGGCATGAATGTTCCTTATGAGATGCTGACCAAGTGTTGTTACTTTGCAGTCGGTCCATCATCCAAGATGGCCGCCAGCAGGGGGACTTAGTTTAACATAGGACCCTATGGGAAATACATACAAATGTCTTCTTTTAGAGAACCACTGAATGGAATGAAACCAAACATGGCATGAATGTTCCTTATGAGGTGCTGACCAAGTGTTGTTACTTTGCAGTCAGTCCATCATCCAAGATGGCCGACAGCAGGGGACTTAGTTTAACAAAGGACCTATTGGAAATACATACAAATGTCTTCTTTTAGAGAACCACTGAATGGAATGAAACCAAACATGGCATGAATCTTCCTTATGAGATGCTGAACAAGTGTTGTTACTTTGTAGCCGATCCATCATCCAAGATGGCTGCCAGCGGGGGACTTAGTTTTACATAGGACCCTTTGGGAAATACATGAAAATGTCTTCTTTTAGAGAACCAATAAATGGAATGGAACCAAACATGGCATGAATGTTCCTTATGAGATGTTGACCAAGTGTTGTTACTTTGCAGCCGATCCATCATCCAAGATGGCCGACAGCGGGGGACTTAGTTTAACATAGGACCCTATGGGAAATACATACAAATGTTTTCTTTTAGAGAACCACTGAATGGAATGAAACCAAACATGGCATGAATGTTCCTTATGAGTTGCTGACCAAGTGTTGTTACTTTGCAGTCGGTCCATCATCCAAGATGGCCGACAGCAGGGGACTTAGTTTAACAAAGGACCTATGGGAAATACATACAAATGCCTTCTTTTAGAGAACCACTGAATGGAATGAAACCAAACATGGCATGAATGTTCCTTATGAGATGTTGACCAAGTGTTGTTACTTTGCAGCCGATCCATCATCCAAGATGGCCGACAGCGGGGGACTTAGTTTAACATAGGACCCTATGGGAAATACATACAATTGTCTTCTTTTAGAGAACCACTGAATGGAATTGAACTAAACATGGCATGAATGTTCCTTATGAGTTGCTGACCAAGTGTTGTTACTTTGCAGTCGATCCATCATCCAAGATGGCCGCTAGGGGGGGGGGGGGCTTAGTTTAACATAGGACCCTATGGGAAATACATACAATTGTCTTCTTTTAGAGAACCACTGAATGGAATTGAACTAAACATGGCATGAATGTTCCTTATGAGTTGCTGACCAAGTGTTGTTACTTTGCAGTCGATCCATCATCCAAGATGGCCGCTAGGGGGGGGGGGCTTAGTTTAACATAGGACCCTATGGGAAATACATACAAAAGTCTTCTTTTAGAGTACCACTGAATGGAATGAAACCAAACATGGCATGAATGTTCCTTATGAAGTGCTGACCAAGTGTTGCTACTTTGTTGCCGATTTACTGTTCAAGATGGCCACCAGGATATTTTATTAAATAACGGGACCAATATTAATCAAAATTTGGCCTCAATCATTATTTGGGTATCTGTTATGATTTTTATCTATCTTTACATGATTTCTAAAACCAAAGTAGAGTCAGGTGAGCGACACAGGCTCTTGAGAGCCTCTAGTTATATATCTCTACAGCATTCAGTTTGACAGTTTCACCCCTTCTATGATGCCCTATTTGAATTTGAAGATTTTGTTCATATAAGATGCTGTGGATGCATTATTATTCGTTGATACCAATTTTCGTGGATTTCATGGGTACAGTTGAACCACGAAATTAAATGTTCAAAGAATGTCAAATTTTCTTAAGGCTTGTATGCAGACTTCGGCAAAACCACGAAATTAGGTATCCACGAACATGTAAGTTTTCCTTAATCCACGAAAATTTATACCCACGAAAATAAATGAATCCACAGTATGGAAAAGTGCAGATGTTAAGATTTTTATCAAAGAAAAACATTACTTTCACTATAATCATGGATATTATATAAGTTTTATGCCAATAATTAGTTAAAAAAACCAACAAAGACAGGTTTTCACAATTTTTGAAATATTTGAATTCTTCCCACTTTGCTGATTTCACCCAAATTGACAGTAGAAAATATGAAAAAAAAAAAACTTCTTTTTCTTTAGAGGTGTACTTTAGGTTAAGGGTTAGGTTAGCGGTTCTTTCAAGGTAGGTTTAAGTTCAAGGGTAAGGGCTAGTGTAAAGATTATGTATAGGTTATGGTTATGATCAATAAGGTATACCTCTATAAGGTTTGGGACCCTTCAAGTAAAAGAAGCAGAAAAAAACCTTTTAAAAATGTGTCTCAAAAGTTGTTTTCAAGAAAAATTAACATTTCTTTTCTTTTGAAGATTTTAAAAGTATGACACAAAGAGTTAAATATTAATGTCCCAATTACATATGCAATATCTTGTAACAAATCATTGTCAATGTCAAACACGGGGAAAACAGCAAAAAATAAAATTGAGAACGGATATAGGGAATGTGTCAAAGAGACAACAACCCGACCAAAGAGCATAAAACAGCCCAAGGCCACCAAATGGGTCTTCAACACAGCGAGAAAATCCTGCACCCGGAGGCGGGCTTCAGCTGGCCCCTAAACAAAAATGTGTACTAGATCAGTGAAAATACTGTAGTATACTACTTATTATCTCCGCTTAGACTAGTGTTGTTTGTGTGACAATTAAGATTCCATATGGTAGAAAAGACAATTCATTTGAACTATATATGATATTTTACAAGACATATTTTTAAACATAAAAGTATAAATGAAATGTCAATAGTTTTTCTTTCTATTTGTAGTCTATGGAAAAAGGGAAGAAAAGAAAATTTAACAGCAAGGTAAGAAGCATATTTCTGTAATGATTATATTTATATCATGGGAAGCTATGTTTTATAAAGAGATTCATAATATGGGTCTAGTCAAACAGCTTGTGCACTTTTTCTACTGGTATTTTTCAGAGTTATGAATGTCTCCCAAGTATAACATTTCAGATAGTTCAACTATTGTCATGAAATATATCTGAACACTTATAAATTCTTTTGTTGAAATTTTGCCAAAACAATACACTTAGTCGAAGTTTATAGCACTAAATGATGACATTCATTGTAGTTTTGTTTTCTTCAAATATCTCATCATAGTGCCATACAGGGAAATCACTTGTAGAAAAAACAGGGGAGATAATTACATATAGTCAGATAATAGAGATTTTGATAAGCCTTACAAAATGCATGGAAAATACTAGGGCTATTACAATAAATGTGGGAGAGAAGGAAGAGGAGTTTTGTTTTGAAAAACCTGTCATGGATCATTCATTGTTGTTATCCATTAGATGTATGTAAAATTACTCCAAGTATGTTAGTATCTATAGTGAGTTAGTAAAATTACTCCCAAGTATGTTAGTAGCTATAGTGAGTGAGTAAAATTACTCCAAGTATGTTAGTAGCTATAGTGAGTGAGTAAAATTACTCCCAAGTATGTTAGTAGCTATAGTGAGTGAGTAAAATTACACCAAGTATGTTAGTAGCTATAGTGAGTGAGTAAAATTACTCCAAGTATGTAAGTAGCTATAGTGAGTGAGTTAAACCAAGTATGTTAGTAGCTATAGTGAGTGAGTAAAACTACTCCAAGTATGTTAGTAGCTACAGTGAGTGAGTAAAACTACTCCAAGTATGTTAGTAGCTATAGTAAGTGAGTAAAATTACTCCCAATTACTCCCAAGTATGTTAGTAGCTATAGTAAGTGAGTAAAATTACTCCAAGTATGTTAGTAGCTATAGTGAGTGAGTAAAATTACTCCAAGTATGTTAGTAGCTATAGTGAGTGAGTAAAATTACTCCAAGTATGTTAGTAGCTATAGTGAGTGAGTAAAACTACTCCAAGTATGTTAGTAGCTATAGTGAGTGAGTAAAATTACTCCCAAGTATGTTAGTAGCTATAGTGAGTGAGTAAAACTACTCCAAGTATGATAGTAGCAAATTGCTCCAAGTATGTTAGTAGCTATAGTAAGTGAGTAAAATTACTCCCAAGTATGTTAGTAGCTATAGTGAGTGAGTAAAACTACTCCAAGTATGTTAGTAGCTATAGTAAGTCAGTAAAACTACTCCAAGTATGTTAGTAGCTATAGTGAGTGAGTAAAATTACTCCCAAGTATGTTAGTAGCTATAGTGAGTGAGTAAAACTACTCCAAGTATGTGAGTAGCTATAGTAAGTGAGTCAAACTACTCCAAGTATGTTAGTAGCTATAGTGAGTGAGTAAAATTACTCCCAAGTATGTTAGTAGCTATAGTAAGTGAGTAAAATTACTCCCAAGTATGTTAGTAGCTATAGTGAGTGAGTAAAATTACTCCAAGTATGTTAGTAGCTATAGTGAGTGAGTAAAATTACTCCAAGTATGTTAGTAGCTATAGTGAGTGAGTAAAATTACTCCCAAGTATGTTAGTAGCTATAGTGAGTGAGTAAAACTACTCCAAGTATGATAGTAGCAAATTACTCCAAGTATGTTAGTAGCTATAGTAAGTGAGTAAAATTACTCCCAAGTATGTTAGTAGCTATAGTGAGCGAGTAAAACTACTCCAAGTATGCTGTAGCAAATTGCTCCAAGTATGTTAGTAGCTATAGTAAGTGAGTAAAATTACTCCCAAGTATGTTAGTAGCTATAGTGAGTGAGTAAAACTACTTCAAGTATGTTAGTAGCTATAGTAAGTGAGTAAAACTACTCCAAGTATGTTAGTAGCTATAGTGAGTGAGTAAAATTACTCCCAAGTATGTTAGTAGCTATAGTAAGTGAGTAAAATTACTCCCAAGTATGTTAGTAGCTATAGTGAGTGAGTAAAATTACTCCAAGTATGTTAGTAGCTATAGTGAGTGAGTAAAATTACTCCCAAGTATGTTAGTAGCTATAGTGAGTGAGTAAAACTACTCCAAGTATGATAGTAGCAAATTACTCCAAGTATGTTAGTAGCTATAGTAAATGAGTAAAATTTCTCCCAAGTATGTTAGTAGCTATAGTGAGTGAGTAAAACTACTTCAAGTATGTTAGTAGCTATAGTAAGTGAGTAAAACTACTCCAAGTATGTTAGTAGCTATAGTGAGTGAGTAAAATTACTCCCAAGTATGTTAGTAGCTATAGTGAGTGAGTAATATTACTCCCATTATGTTAGTAGCTATAGTGAGTGAGTAAAATTACTCCCAAGTATGTTAGTAGCTATAGTGAATGAGTAAAATTACTCCCAAGTATGTTAGTAGCTATAGTAAGTGAGTAAAATTACTCCCAAGTATGTTAGTAGCTATAGTGAGTGAGTAAAACTACTCCAAGTATGTTAGTAGCTATAGTGAGTGAGTAAAATTACTCCCAAGTATGTTAGTAGCTATAGTGAGTGAGTAAAATTACTATAGTGAGTGAATTTTGAAGTCCCTTCCTACCCATCAAAATATGTTTTAATGAATAATGATTATATATTTTTGTATTCGTAAGTTTTACATTTTTATCAATAGAAAGGACTAATAAAGTCTTACTGTTCTATTTTTATGGTGCTAATGGATAAGGAAATACACATAATTAAATTGTCATTATTGACTCTTCAAGTGACTCTTAAAGTATCATTTTAGATATATTTTGTAATGAAATAAAACATTTCTTTTTTTACAGGGCAAGAAGGGAAAGAAAGGTAATTAGTTTTCATATTTCAATGTAAAATTATAGTCCATTTTATACTTACAGGACATTCAAAAATGATTTACCAAAACTCAGCCAAAAATAGTCTATTAAAATATGAATTTTGTATTATTTTATTTTTAGTACAATTTTTTTTCTATTCATTTGAACTTGGACTGCTATTTAGGAAAATTTTGATTATGTATTTAAAAGTCACTTATTAATTCTCAACATTAAATGAATTTTAAAATGGATTTTTTTTCCAGTTTCTCAGTGAGAATGTGTTATAGCGTAAACTATCTGAACAAAAGTAAATCCATGTCCCCATCATTATAACAAAAGGAGATGTGGTATGATTGCAAATGAGACAAGTATACAAAAGATTCCAAATGACAAAGATAAAAGCAATTATAGGTCACCATACTGCCTTCAACATTGGAGAAAACCCACACTGTATAGTCAGCTATAAAAAGCCCCAACATGACAAAATGTGAAGCAATTCAAACAAATAAAACCAACGGCCTGATTTATGACAAAACAAAAGGCTTAAAACAAATATAACAGACAACAACAACCACTGAATAAAAGGTTCCTGACTTGGGACAAGTACATATAGAATGCGACAGGGTTAAACATGTTTTTGAATATCCAACGCTCCCTTTAACCTAGGAGAGTGGTGTAACAGCACATTATACGAAAAACTGTAAAAACCAGTTAGCTTGACTATTCGGATTGGCAAAAAGCTCAAAATCAACTGAGGTAGAAAAAAAAAGAACAAATTTTAGAGAACTCACAATGACTGAAAGGTTCTTCAAAGCCAATTACTACTAAGAAATAAATCATGTTCTCGTTATTTAATTTAAATAGTAATAATAAACTTGCCGAGGCTCGTTTATTATTATATTGAAATTAAATAACTCGAGTTGATATCAAGCGATATCCAATTCTCACTCGTCCTGAAACCTATAATTCTCCCAGACTAAATAACATTTCTGATATAAAGTAGGTTTATTTTATGTACTCTGTTCTGGAGTAGGGGAGATAACTTCATACAATTGTCTCCCATCAGCAATGTATTTATTATATCAGACAAATATAATTCTTTGGATGATAACCTTATTGTTTTGATTTTGCAGTGTTTCTTTTTTTCAATTGCAGGATTTAAGAAGAAAAGGAGATGATTTATACAATAAAATTATGAAAAGAAATTTATATTTAATGTATTTAAAACAAAGACTAAAAACCAAATACAAGAAAGAAAAGATTATTGATTTGAATATTTGTGCCATCAAAATATAAATCTTATACATGACAATGTACTTAATAGGTAAAATGAACATGCTTATTGAATTCATTTATGAGTTGAAATATCAGTGACAGGATTCTCTTATGAAGGCACATTTATTGAGTTTAACGTGTTTTTATTTTCCATGTGAGGATACATTTACCACTTTGTCCTTCAATCTGTCTATTTATCTAACTCTTGTGATTTCCAGATGAGTACTTGTGTTCCTTTGGCAAATATCCATCAACTTTGACATGGGTACTAGTGATAAGAAATAATCAGTCAGAATTGAATTCTACTATGGGTACTAGTGATAAGAAATATACAGTCAGAATTGAATTTCACCTGATAGCTTCTACTATGGGTACTAGTGATAAGAAATATACAGTCAGAATTGAATTTCACCTGATAGCTTCTACTATGGGTACTAGTGATAAGAAATATACAGTCAGAATTGAATTTCACCTGATAGCTTCTACTATGGGTACTAGTGATAAGAAATATACAGTCAGAATTGAATTTCACCTGATAGCTTCTACAATTCATGAGTTGTTCCCCCTTACAATGTAATTACAAAAATTATTGTTTTAAGTTGACGACTTTGATTAACTCTGAATACAAGCCTTGATGCTCAATAACCATTTTGAAAAAAGAATGGGACTTCAGAATGTTTTCTCTGAAATAAAATTTGGACAAAAAGAAAACTGTTTCATTCATTTATACAGTCATTCAATTGGCCAATATGTAAATGTGAGATGAAAAAACTGCAATCATTGGACTGATTAATTGATTTGGATTTTGTTAATCATGTATAGGGGTTAGGTGTCATGAATTATGATATCCCTTCTTTTCTATTTGAAACCATATTGTAATTTTACTAATTAGACTTTAGTAGAACAAGCATACTATAAATTCAGAAAA